TAAGGTATCGCAAAGAGAGGGGAGGGGAAAGGTGAGAGATGGTGGTAGGTTAAGGCGGGGTAGAAGATCGGGATACAGGAAGCTCGAGAGAACGAGTACGTAGATAGCGGAGAGACGTGGGACGAGTAGAGGGGATAAGGATAGTTCAAGGGAGCACAAAGATACGCAGGCTATAGAACGAAGATCAAGCATGAGAGCGAGCGCGACAGCAAGAGATAGAGGCCAGAATGCGAGTCGAGGCAGCACCGTAACGAGAGCTAGCGCTGAGCGCTAAACCGTAACGAGAGCGCGCGGGATCTACATCGACCCCCCGCTCCCGCTACTCTGCAACATCCTCAAATGCTCCGGACTGCCCCAACTTCCGCCCCACCCCATACTCCCCTCATCGTCCGCCTCCCCTCCATACCCGCCGCGCAACCGCTCAGCCTCCTCGTCCTCCTTAGTCGTAGCCAAGCCCGCCGTACTCGGCACGAACGGGAAGCGGAGCACATTGCCCGTCTGCGGGTCCCGCACAGACTGATGCGTCGTGACACTCGACCCGATAGACGCGTTGGGTACATGACGAGGGGGAGGGTTTGCGCTTGTCGGACGCGAGTTGGGGTTAAGCTGGGAGGATATATCCGAGATACGGTGGCGGTGGCCGACGGCGGAGAGTGGTGGCGAGGCGGCAAGCCGATGCCCATGGCTGCTCACAGACCCCGTGCGCCCGCTCGAGCCGCTCTGCTCATGACTGTGCGCCCTCGTGCTCGCCGATCCGCTACTATGGCTCCCCGACCCGTCCTGCCGGTGCGGGCTCAGGAACTGCTGCCGCTCCGACGACGGCGAGTGCAAGCTCGGCTCGACGGACGCGTGCACGTTGTCCCGCGACGCCGTCAAGATCGCCGCGGCGCCCGCACCGCCGAACGTCGTGCGGCGCGCGTCGAGCTCCTGAGCCCGCCGAAGCGAGGCCCAGCTCACGCCGGCCTCGGGCGGTGCCTCCTCGAGGACATCGATAGTGATGAGCTCTTGACTGCCCAACCCACTATCGCGCCTCGAGCCCTCGGGCGAGTTCGAGCCTGAGCGGTTCCACGCTGCTACAGTGGGCATAGCGAGCGCGGGCGGGATCGTAGGCCGCGAATGAGCCGTTGCAGTCGAGGCAGTCGCGAATGGCGAGACCGGACGGGGAGGCGCGTCGCTCAGATCGTCGATGGGCGTGTGGTACGTCGGGCTGTACGTCTGCGCAGGCATCCGCAGCGTCTCGTACGCCGGCGGCTCGCTCCCGCCCCGCGGCCTCATCCCGTCGCGCGACCGAATGCGCAAAGGCTGCGTCGTAGCAGTCGGCAGCGGCGGCACAGGCGGGATATCAGCCGCACTAGCAACCGTACGCGACCCTCCAGAGCTCATCGTGCCGCTCTGAACAGGCGTCCCGAACCGCGACGGCGCGTCGTAAAACTCCGTCTCGCCGCTCCTGCCGCTGCCGACCGTCGCACCGCTCACAGGCCTCTGATCAGGCTTCATCAGCCCCATCTCGCGTAGACGGGGCGGGAGGGGACTGAGGCGCGCTTCGGTCTCGGGGTTGTGCGGCGCGTGGCCGTGGCCGTGGCTGCTGGAGACGTCGTCTGGGATGGCTGCCAGCGCGCCGCCGGCGTACGAGTTTGGGCGGCTGCGCGAGTGCGAGCGGCTGCGGTAGGGCATGAGCGGGGGGCTATCGGGCCATCGGCCGCTTTCGCGCCGCGAGTCGAGTGTGGGCAAGGGACTGGGCGGTACGCTGCCGCGACCTGAGATACGACCTGCAAGCGAGCGGAGCCAGCCGGTGCTCTCGACGACACCACGGATGGAGAGGTCGGTGTGCAGTCCGATATGACGGGCCCAGCTCTCTGAGGCCCGAGCTTCGACGTCGTCCTGGTAATGCTCGGCGGGGAGAGCCCGCGCCATAGCATGCTCGTCGAGCCGTACGCGACGTGCAGTCTGAACCGTCGCTTCCGCTTCGCTGCCCGCAGAGCGAGACGACCGACCAGTGCGCATACTATAGTTCGAGCGACTGCGCGAGGGCACAAGACGCGGCGGCGGGAGAAGCGGTACGCCGACCGTATCGTAGTCCGCCTCAGAGTCCGAGTCGAACGCGCTCTGCGGCGGCGGACTATTCACACCAAGCGGGGGCGGACTCCTTGGTGACCTCGGCGTAGCAGGCCTCGACCGGGGCGTCGTAGGCCGCGAATCGGGGTACATCTTCATAAGCACCTCGCGCGGAATGATATGCCTATCCCGCGCAGGCGTCGACGACCGCGGCGGCGTAGGCGGAATATTCGCAAACACCACGCTCCTTCTATTCGCGCCGCCGCTCCCGCTTTGGCTGTTACTGTTGCCCGCCGTGGGACTGGCGAGCTGTCCGGTCTCCGCGTCGAAGTACTCCGAGCCGCTCTTCTCGTCCGTATCGAGCTTCGGCGCCTGTTTTCTGCGGCCCCAGCTGAGCAGGCCAGATGCGAATGGTAAACCAGTAGACGCGCTAGAAGCGTTGCGCTGCGATGGGCCGACGAGGCGCGGGGGCGCCGCAGTCTCGTCTTTCTCACGCGGGAAGTTGCTTTCGGTAGCGATGACGCCACCAGCTGCAGCTGCAGCGCTCGCGCGGAGGAACGAATCGTGCTCCTCGCCCGAGCCGCGCGGGGAGCCCTCGCCCGGCTCGCGTGGCGCGTCGGCGTGCTCGTGCTCGTGCGCGTCGTCGGTGTCGATGGGGTGCCACTGCCAGAGCGCGTCGCCCGTGGGAGAAACGGGGCCGCGGCGGCGGGCGCGGCGACGGCGGCAGAAGACGCAGAGGGCGATCAGAATGAAGAGCAGCACAAGGCCGCCCGTGATACCGAGTGCGAGGCCGAGAATGCGGCCGAGGTTGCTGTGGTGTGTGGACCCGGCCGCGGCGGCGGTTGAGGTCGAGCTGGCTGATGAGCTTGATGGCGTCGAAGAGCTTGATTGGCTCGAAGAGGAGGGTTGAGAGGAGGAGGATGCGGCAGTTGCCGAGGGTGTGGATGTGTTAGAGAGTGAAGGTGTCGCAGAGATAGAGTTCGTAGTCGTAGTCGGTGTGGTTATTGATGTCGTCGTGGTGGTTGTGGCAGCAGCCGTTGTAGAAGATACCGGCGCAGGCGAAGTCAGTCCTCCATATACCCAAGCGCCATCCGTTCCAAGCGGAATCTCAGGCTGACATGAGTGGCTGAGCTAACCACATGAACCCGTTCCAAGTGGAAAACATACCGATGGGCCGTAGTACGTCAGTGGCAGGCGGAGGACGGTCTCTGCTGTTGCTGTTGGCTGGCCCTGGGCGTCTGTCAGGGTGGTGGCAGACAGAGTGAGCCAGGGCGGGTATTCCTGTGTTGGGGCTGCCATTTAAAAGGTTTACACGTCGTAAGGTCGAGCAGCACGCGAGGGGCGGCGGTAGTAAAGAATGTATGTGGACGCTGTCACGTTGCGTCAGAATCCAATATGCCATGCCATGCCGGTTTCATCTCAGCACTCACTGAACCACAGGAAGAGTCGTGTTGCGGGCAAGTCTGGAGGGGGTGAGGCGCGGAAGAAGGGGAGGAAGGGGAGATGGTGGGAGGAGAAAGAACCACAACCAGGCGCTTGAGGCTCAACATCAACTAGTCACGTTCCATATAGACGTTCTATCGAACACGGGCCGTTATCTCCGCTGTCTTTGTGGTTCGCCGCTCTCGGGCATGGATCGACCGTAGACTACTTTTGGGTACAACATTGCCAACTACTGTCCACATGCCCGAGTAGAGGTGTATCCTTACATGGCCATCTCAGGCCCCGCCGCGCCCTCCTTCGGGCCCTCACTCTTCTCCGGCGCCTCGTCAACAACATCCTTCTTACCCCCACCAACAGGAATCCCAGCAAACTTCCCATGAAGCGCCTCATACCTCCTCCTCTGACTCCGACTAACACTAGGCGGCACCTTCTCGAGCGCCCTCTCAAAGTCCGCAACCTCCACTCTAACCTCCCCGCCTCGCTCGCCCTCGTCCATATCCTCGAGTCTGCCCAGTACGCGTCGTAAAGCGAGCACACCAGCTTCGCGTACGACGGACGCGATGTCGGCGCCGCTGTACCCGTCCGCTTTATCTCTGATGATCTTCTCGATCTCGCCGCTTGTGTCTTCTCCACCGGCCAGAGGCACCTTGCGCCTCAGAAGCAATGTCCTCGCAATCTCGCCACGCTCCTCCGGACCAGGTAGATCGACGTATAACAACTTGTCCAGTCGACCAGGACGGCACATCGCAGGGTCTACCATGTCGGGCCTATTCGTTGCGCCAAGGACGAAGACGCCCCGGCGAGCGTCGAGACCGTCGAGCTCGGTGAGGAGCGTGTTGACTACGCGTGCAGAGGATTCAGACTGTGTAGGTGTGAGCAGGTGCGGCATGGAGGGGGGAGAGATGGGCGTACGAGGTTGTCGTCACGGCGCGGTACGAGCGCGTCCAGCTCGTCGAAGAAGATGATACATGGACTGCTCGCCCTCGCCCTTGCGAACACCTGGCGTACAGCGCGCTCGCTCTCGCCGACATACTGCACACATCATCAGCATGCTCACACCACAGCACAGAACCATCGCATACCTTGTTGAGCAGCTCCGGCCCCTTAACACTAATAAAATTCGCCCTACTCTCATTCGCCACAGCCTTCGCAAGCAACGTCTTCCCGCACCCCGGCGGGCCCCACAACAGCACCCCACACGGCGCATCAACCCCCACAGCCCTAAACAGCTCCGGCCGCCGAATAGGCTGCACAACAGCCATATGCAGCTCGCCCCGTATATTGTGCAGCGCCCCGATATCGGCCCACACTACGTCGGGCACCGTCGCGAAGCCCTCGCGTTGCGCGCTGGGCTGGACGTGTTTGAGCGCGAGGGCGAAGTCGGAGGATGTGAGGCAGAGGGGCTCGAGTTGGGCGGGCGTGAGGGGCGAGGGGTGCGCGCGGAGGAAGGCGGCGATGGAGGAGTGCGCTAGGTCGAGCGAGAGATTCGCGAGCGGCGCGATGACTTTTTTCTCGTCCGCCTTGGCCGGCGGCGCGTCGTCGACCTGCATCTCCGCATCGCCATCCGTGGTCTGCGCGAGCGTAGTGGCGTCCATATCAGGCAACACGATCTCCCCGCTCGCCAACTGCCTGAATATCCTCTTGACGGCCACAACGCCCGCCGCGCCCGTCAGACTCGCCAGATCAGCGCCGACATATCCCGGCGTCTGTTTCGCTAAGAGGTCAAAGTCGAAGTCCCCGGAAAGACGCAATTTGGCGCAGAGTACGCGGAGGATCTGAGCACGCGCGGCATCGTCGGGGACGGACATGCCGATCTCGTGGTCGAAGCGTCCTGCGCGGCGGAGGGCGGCGTCGAGCGAGTCGGGGCGGTTTGTGGCGCCTATTACTATGACTGGTTTGTTGTCGGTTTTGTCCCAGGAGAGCTCTGTGATGGGTGAAGTCAGGATGTTGGTTGATATGATAGGTGGATGAATGAGCGTACCGTCCATGCAAGTGAGGAACTGCGCGACGATGCGACGTTCCATCTCGCGTTGTGCGCTTTCGCGTTTGGGTGTGATGGCATCTATTTCGTCGATGAAGAGTAGACATGGTGCGACTCGCTAAGGAACATGTCAGCTTCAAAGCGACGGCATGGATGACAGATATGATAGCTGTACCTTCGCCTCTTCAAACGTCTCGCGTAGAGTCTTTTCCGATTCACCAGACATGCCGGACACGATGGATGGCGCTGAGACCATGATGAACGGCACACCAAGTTCCTACGTCCCAAGACGCACATCAGTATCTACGCCACGCTATATAGAAAAAACATCACATACCCCGCCAATAGCATTCGCAAGCAACGTCTTCCCGCACCCCGGCGGCCCATGCAACAGCACACCCCTAGGCGGCTGCACACCCGTATGCAAATATATCTCCGGATGACACAGCGGCATCGCCACGAGCTCGAGCATCTTCTCCACGCACGGCTCTACGCCGCCCAGATCGGCAAGCCGCGCGGTAGGCGGGGTGTGCTCTTTCGAGATCGCGCCGCCGGTGGTGCGCGAGCGCTTGCTGCCGCTGCCGCCGGCATCGTCCGTGCGCGAGGAGCGCACTTTGCGCTTGCCGGTTGATGGGGGCGGGCCGTCTGTGGTCGGCTCTGTAGGCGCCGGCGCGTCCGCAGGTGCGGGGACTGAGAGAGAGGCCGGTACGGGTTCTTCGGTTGCCGGAGTCGCCGCTGGAGGAGTACTTGTCCCGGGAGAAGGTGCGGGCGAGTTTAGGTTGATCTTTTTGCGGTGTGTAGACCATAGGCCTTGAACAGAGCGATTGAGCGCGTTCGGGCCCTACTGGGGAAGTATTCATGCACTGTGCGTTCAGGCTTGATCTCGTGACATACCGATATCTCCATTTCATGAAATACAACAGTATATTGCGGATGTACGATGAATGGTCGGTCAAGCGCCGGAGTGTGTGCTTTGCGACGAGTGGCGACGGGGTCGAGGTGAGCGGCGAAGAAAAGATGCGCGCGCCTCGGTCCGATCGGCCGGGTTCAGTTGGCCATCTGGGTCGCGTGGCCGTCGCGTGTACATACTTAGCAGACCAACTTAACGATCCTGTATGTCTACGACCCTCACTTGCGCTATGTAGCGCATGCACGGTGGTCATAGAGAGTTCGATTCACTTAGAGTAAAGTTTGATAGGTAGCGCATGAGTACTAGACGTTTCCTGCGGAGATACACTCGTCGAGCCTCAGCCTCGAGCGGCGAGCCTTGCCTCTGCTTCATCCCTCAGCCGTGCCCAATCCTCATCAGTCTCTCCCTCAGCCTCTTCCTCAGAAAGTCGTGCACCAGCAACAGCAAGCTCGTCCGCGCGCTCACTCCCAACACGACTTCCCGGAAGCCCGCGGAGTGAACCACCGAATGCCGGAGAGTGATACACGTCTGTAGGTCCGGCGCGCAGAGCACGGAGTGCGACCATGTACCGGGTCAGATCCATGTTCTTGACTGGGTCGCCCTGGGAGGTCGTCCAGCCTCTACGGCGCCAGCCGTCCGCCCAGTCAAAACCTAAGTGTGTGTGGCAAGTGCATGTGAGCTCCATCGTCATGGAGTGTTATGCGGTCTCGTACGCACATTTGCAGCAGTACTGAGAGTCGGTCACGATTGTCAGCGGGCGGGGATCCTCCGCTGTCAACTCCAGAACCCGCACGATCGACTGTTGCCAGTCAGTCAGTCAGCCACTGCTGAGTTTAGACTGCATGATTTCGACTAGGGAACATACCAACATCTCTGCATAGTTGCCCGCCCTACCCTGCGCACATCGGCGCGAGAGATCCCTACGGAACACAGTCAACACCGACAAAAAACCAATACCGACAAAAAACAACTTACCCCGGCACACCCTCCGGTCGGCCATGAGCCCAGTATGCACCATACCCGACAGGTCGAGCGCTACTGTCGCGTGCGAATGGAGCCGCACCGTCGACGTACGCCACGATCTTCAGAACCTCCGATTCTCCAGGCGCTCCTGGATGCGCGCTATCCACATTCGCACCATTGATCATGTTCAGTGACGGCAAACCAGCGGTGAAATGGCTCTGGGAGGCCTGCACTGCGAGCGATCCGTCGTCATCGGGCAAGTGCTCAGTCGGCGTTTGGGATGTATGTGCGGGACCGTTTATGCCAGGCAAGATCGGCATGATGATTTCGCTCATTGCCATCTTCGAATAAGGCGCAGCAGAGGATGTGGAGGTTCGAGTTGAAGTAGTATGGGATGGATCAGCGATTGGGCGCTTGATCATACTAGGGCCGGCGAAGTCTCGCACGACTGCTTCTTCTCGCGTGCTCGTACAAGAGCTTCTCAAACTGCCAGCGCGAATGTTCAGTGCTAGTAGTGGTTATCAAGTACGGCGGCAGTCATACACACATTGACCCTTGAGCGACGCGTTCTGAAGACGTCTTACGTCGAGATATGGCCTTCTCTTCCCGACTCCGTGAGGCGCGCCGGGCGCATCCCTAGGAGCAGGAACGGGGATGGGTGTAGATGCAGGTTCTTCCATTGCCGGAGTAGCCGCAGGTGGGATGCGTGTACCGGGACAAGGTGCAAACCAGTTCAAGTTGATATTTTCGCCATGCGTAAACCCCAAGTTCTGCAGAAAGCGGGTCCTACTATCAAGTAGGGAAGTGTTCGCGCGATGCCCACGTGAAAAATAAAAGTTGATATTGCATACCGATATCTTCATCTTGCGTATATCGTACACATATTCCAGGGTACGCAATGTGTTTTAGAGTTCCATGTGCCCCAAGACACAATATATATGAGCATTGCTAGAGAACGACCGGCGAGATGGAGGTGAGAGAGAAGATCCAACGGACGCCGAGCCTTGGCCGAGCCGCCTGATGGACCTCGCGTGTCTCTCGCGTGGCATTATTTGAGTGCGCGCGGCGGTTTCTTCCAGATCGAGTTGCTCTTCTCTCGCCATGACGGTCCGGACAGACACTCCTCAGGTCTCAGGTCTGGAGTCGAAATAGTCCGTTCGTCGAGCCGGGAATCTCGAGTCGACCTCATCAGAACTCGAAGCACGGACATATTCAATCTGGGATTCATCTATTCGCGACAGGCTTTGCGCTTGGAAGTCCTGGAGAAGGCGCGGGCAGAGCAGTGTACGTAGGTGAGTAATCGTAGTCCTCGTGTATGTTTCTAGTTATACTCAAGCTGGAACAAGAAGGTTATGGTGGTACAGATATAAGCAATACGAATCAGTTCATACCCGAGTGACATGGAATCGAACGAGATGGAGTAGTCCGCGCAAGCTCAACATATCAGGTCGAATACAGTACCTCTCAAGTGTGCGCCTCCTCAGAATCGCCTGTCAACGTCGTCAATTCGACCGCCGTCTCTGCGTCTTCCTCGCCCTTGGGTTCCTCTTCAACCACGAAGCCAGTCCTCTCTCCCTTCTCAGGATCACCCAAGCGGTAACGCAACTTGGCCCTCTTCGCACGAGCAGTCAAAGGCTCTCCGGGATCATTGAGAAGCGCATCCAGATCACGGCTTCGCACTGAGGCGGCGATGGTCGAGAAGTTGCGCTGCATCGCGCCGCCATTCTCAAGGATGCACACGATGCCGTATATGTCGACCAGGAGCGTGATGAGGAGAGCGATGCCATAGACAATCCACAAGCGAGATGGCATGTACTTGTAAACGTTGTAATTCGGAAGGACGGCCACATCCACAGTTGTGTTATGCCCAAGATTGGCCATGTCAGACATCAAGGACGCCGTCAAGTTCGTACACGCATCCTGCAAAAGCTGTCCGAGATCTGTGTATGTTGATGAACCGAGTGATAATGAGAAGGTACCAGTTGCTATTGGATCATCGTCGGTGGCAAAATTTGCGAAGAAGATAGAGTTGAGTACACTGGTATACGCAGGTGCCAGCGTAGGGCAACTCAAAACATCACCAGAGTCAATGATCCCGGCCAATGCGACGATCCCGGCCAATGCGATGTTCCCGTACATATATTGAGACATCGCATTGGCGAGACTCATCGTGGCGAACAAGGACAATAGATGAGGGTCGGTCGTATTCAGCGAGGATATGTTCACTGCTTGCTTGAAGTCTTGCGCGGATCTCAGTAGGGCGCCACGCTCGATGATACTGATGTTGGTGGTCTGAAAACCATTCGTATAATTCACGGAAGCTGCATACGTCGCATTGTGGAAGGCGCAAGACTGACCCTTCAGACTATAAGAGATGTTCGTGTCGAATGGAACTTGAAAGTCGTTGATAGCATAGACGACATCAAAAGAGAAATTTGAACCCTTGGGTAGATCCGAGTAAAACATCGCGATCGGTGATCCAGCTATCCAGAGAGCTTGGCTCTTGTTCTCAGCAGCATGTCCAGGAATCCAAGTAATACCAGACCCAAATGTGGTCGTGGAATTGTAGATGTGGGCCCCTTCCAAAAAATACGTAGGATCGGAGACTTCGATAGCAGTGTGACCGCTCGGCCCGTCAAACTCTGCAAAAGCTGTGTCGATGACCTTTATGGAGCTCGATGGGATGGGGTTGCACTCCAAGGCAGGTCCCCAGTATGTGATGTTATAACTGCACCCACGGCCACAAGCAGAGGGAGCGGCCCACGGGAGTATGGAACCGCTATCTAGAACACGTCTAGCGAGCCTCTGGAAGGCGAATGAGGGGTTCAGGTAGTAGAACTCTGGTACAGGACCCTCTATGCATGTGGGCAAGTCTTCCGGACAGACATCACGAAAAAAATAAGAGCTCTCCGTCAACGAGATGTTATTGAGGTCGGGAATCGGGACGGGCAACTTCTTCGTTTGATCGGACGCAGGTACGATTGAGAGTGCGTTGGGTGCAAAAATTCCGACGAGGGAGAGAGCTTTCATCACAATCGCGAGCAAGATGACGCTCAGTGCGCGCCCTCTTAAAACCATCGAGCGTATGCTCGAAAAAGACGGAAGCGAGTACAAGGCGTCAAGGTTCCTCAACGTCATACGTCGTCCTCGGATGCATGACCATATCTGTCTTGATAGTCACACGTATGTAACCTTGGAAGAAGGGATATGCGTACGCTTTGCGTCAAAACGATACCGACCGAGGCCTTGAGAAGGAATTGGACCATCTTCGAGAGGGCATTCCCGGCATCTCGATACGAAGTTTGCAAAATCGTGGAGTCTCCTACCTGTATTCCGTTGAGGGTCGACAGAAAGACATGGTGTGCGACACATATCGCCGAAGCAAGAAGCAAAGGGCCTAGGATGAGTAGATGCGCCTTCCGTTCTCCAGAACGCCGCGACGGAGTGCTCGTGCTGGGGGCGACAAGGGTTGACGAGGAACTCAAGCGTGAGGCGACGCGAGCCATCCTAGTACGAGGACGGCCGTCCTGTCGTTTCTCAGGGTCATCCAGAGGCGCCTTCTGGTAGGTAACCGGAGTGTTGCGAGTGCGGAACGGCGTTCGCATCTTGAAGGTCGTGCACAGTGAGGGAGTGGGTTGAATTGGGGGCGAGAGGAAACAGGTACTTCGGAGTCTCGCTTCAGGTTTATGAGGGCTAGAATCTGCTAGCGAGTCGAGGTACGTGGAACTTCTTCGCGGCAGTATGTGGTTATCTAAGGCGCAAAGGTGGACTTGGAGCGGGTACCTCACGGGGCGAGCCCAGCCCCGGTATCGTCGTTATCTTCAAAGGCGAAGGGGGAAGAAGATGCGGTCCCAAGTAGAAGTGACCAGATCTCACGGTGCTATACCTTGGCATAGCCCGTTCCACCTTCATGGCCAATCTTTATCCGGTCGGAGAGCAGGTTAACACAAGAATGTACCAAGTGGTCCATTCACAAGATCTTGAAGCCACGATAAAGGTATATGGCGTAGGCCTATCAAGGCTTTTAGAGCGTACAAGCTTTGAAGCGCGTAGACGCGGCGGTTATGAACGGGTTGCACCGCCCACATCAGAACTACGAGTGGCAGTTGCTGGGCTACGATTGGCAATGGAAACGCCAAGTTGTTTGCGGGCGTCTCGCACTGAGTTGGCCCCTGGCGGACGGCAATTTCATGCTCTATATTGCATCACCAAGATAAAATAGCGACGCTTAGCTATTCAAGAAGCAGAGACTAAGAGATCATGGATGCAGGAGGACAAGAGTCTGAACGACTCGACATTAAATTAAAGGCCGACTCGCGCGACCCGGATTTTCCCGAGATGCCGCCGGCTTGAAATGATATTTGATTCCCGGCCTTGGCAAGTACTCGCGTGCTATTCGAATGCGGTTGATTTGTCGTTACGGGTACTACAATGACATCAGGCGCGGTACAAGTAACGAGCGGTGTACAGCTTGGGTCGCGCAGATTCAAGATGTAGCAAGAGATAATGGGTTACTTGCCGTGGGAGTTGCAGACGATGTAGACTATCCTATACTCTTGAATGGTGATGTAAGTCGTGATCGCAGGCGGTGTCGTCCAACCAGACGCCCCCGTCACTCGTCCCACGACCNCCGACTGGCGGGAAGAATCTGCGATCTAGGATATTCTACAACGTTTAGAAACCCCACGGCAAGTAACCCACTCAGTCACGTGTCGGAAAACCTGCGAAGTCGTGATCAAGCTCTGCGGGCCTTGACGGCGTGATCAAGCTTGGCGAAGCATTGTCAAGCTCCCTGGGGGGCTTGATCAAGCTTGATCATGCCCTACCAGCTACCAATATACGAATATGCTCCAGAGCCCTCTGGGGCACCCTGCGAGTCGTTCTATGCCGGCGGCGAGGGCAGGGAAGCATATGGCGAGTTGTGCGAGCGGAAACGGCGCGGCCGGAACACGATCACGTGTGTTCGTCCGACGCGCACCGACGACTTGTGTATCCAGCGTAATTCCTGCTGTCACCGCTCACCGTGCCAGCTCAGGAATGGTACAGGGAATATCTGAAGGTCGTTAGTATCGTCGATTTGAGTGGTTACGGAGGTTCTTCTTGAGAAATAGTACTCCTCTGCCACCCTGTCCAAACAACAGCATGACGAAGGACGAAGGCGGGAGCACAGTGGCGGTGAGCTTGCAATACATCACTAATCGTACGAAGGGGGTCTCTAGTCACTTCTGTACATACGGATACACGTACTGTCCTAGTAATATAGCTTATGGTTGCGAAGATACATGTCATTATCGATGCAGTCATTGAAGAAGAACAGCAAGCCCTCCTTTCGGTTTGTGGGGGCACCGAACGCGGTAATGAGGTGTGCGCCGCGAACCAGATACTGTATAAGGATGAACTCAAGTCGATTTACCTCTGCCTCTACCTGACACCCATCCCATGCCGTTCTGGGCTTCCATTTTGAGTGCTGGAAGCGTTTCACCAGAGCAACATCAACCTCTTTCCCCGAGCGCAGCTTGCAGCGGAACATGCCCTGTAAGCGCACGAATGACATTCGTTGATCGCGCGATGCATTGTTCTCCACATTCAGTACTGCGCAGTCGTATCGAGGGCGCCCTTGGAACTTTGGGCTTGCATGTAAGATGTCATGCGCCTCGGTCCAGTCTGCGAGAGACTGATAGTAGAGATACAATGTCTTGTATGCTTTCATCTAGTGAATAGGTTAGTAAAGCACACGAGAACAAGAGTCAGAGAGGACATACATGGAGAGCATCCGTGCGAGGTGGTGCATCTTCGCCGAAGGTATGTTCAAGGAAGGTTCGAAGAGACACATCAAACTTCGGCATACCAACTGTGCGAGAATAAGTGGCGCTCGTATCCGCACCTCTGCGCACACGGCCCCAAAGTTTCCAGTGAGGAGAAACATCATCAGAAGATGCATCTTCTGGCACCGAAGACGGGTCGGCGGGATCTTGACCGGCACCATCATTGTCGTCTCCAGTGAGCTCCTCGTGTTCGCGCTCCTTTTCCTTCTTGAATCGCTCGGCCTCGTTGTCAACGTACATGCGAATCCGGGCGATTATCTCACGGTTCATGTCTTGTATGTCGATCTGAGCGAGCTCATAAGTATAGGGCTCTGTGAAGGACAAGACAGAGGCATACCTGGCGCTCGATATCCTTGAAGTTCGTGCGGGATAGCATGCTCTTGAGCTCTTGATGAAATCCCTCGTTCTTGCGCGTGTCGCCATTGACCGTTGATCCTGCTCCACGAATGTCGTCGATTACATGTTGCAGAAGATGCATCTTCAGGAAGTTGAGGCTCTTGCCGAGCTCGCCGGTGAATTTCTTCGTTGGGTGTGAGTTGCAGAGTCAACCAACAGGTGTATTGCACTCACATCACTTATGTCGCATAGCTTCAGAATGCGCTTATGCAACGAGTTCAGGCGGTTTTCTGAGTTGCACTCCAAGCCGAGAAGCATGCGGACGTGCTGGTATGCTCGCGCCCAATGCACGACTGCCGAGTTGGGCGGAAAGAGCTGCACTATGCAAGCCGGCAAGCACTATTTGAATGAGCCCCCCTATCACAACAGATCGGAGCACTGGACGAGTACATACCCTTGAAACATCCATGTAGACATTTGCATCATAGTACTCTCGAGAAGCCACGCGCTCAAAGTGTCTCAAGGACCTCCATCGCGCGATTTCAGACGTACTGAAGATAGATCAAGGTCAGCATACATCCTGCGATATGAAAAAGCGACTCACTTCTTTTCATACTGGCCGAGTAACCCTTCATCTCGCAGGTAGTCCGTGATTGCAGGCCACGCGTGCTTCCCAAAAAGCCCAGAGTCAGGAGAGTGGAGTTTGTCATATACACTCGATCGATACGGGTCCGAAAAGCGAAGATTCCACATGAATGGCTGGAAGTGTAAGGTGAGAAGAGCTACAGAACAACACCTTTCAAGTGTGCCTACCTCGAGGTCGTGCATGCCGTTCTTTTGGAGGAGCTTGGACTTTTCCGAAGCAGACGTGTCTTCCCCACGTGCCTGCGCCAAAATATCGCGCATATTTTTGACGGTTCGTCGTGGAAAGATATGCCGAAGGTCGCTGAGACGATTCTGGGGCACTAAACACTGAAAGCACGGGACATCGGCGCTCGCATGGCGCACACAGTTACATTCGGCGTGCTCCTGAGCGTCCATAGACTTAATGAGGACACCCGGATGAAGGATGCGGCGCCGTCCGTCCCCACATGTGAGTGCCTCGCCATAGCGCGAGCGATCGTACCAAGAGCAGAATACCTTGCCGAGAACCTTCTGATAGATCTCGGCACGAAAGCGTGAGTACGCCTGCTGGTATACCGTCCCGCGTGTTTTCCCAACCCCTGCCTTGCTTTTGTCGAGCGGCGGGATCTGCTCACAAACGATTAGACAGGTGAATTGCAAGCAAAGGGCCCACGTACATTGCGGATGAAACCGATGAAGATGCCGCCGCCATTACCAGATCCGTTCGCAACAGCAGACGGGACAAAGCACGGCCGTATGATCATGGGATGTAACTTCAAGTGCTTCGTCATATTGCCCTTATCGAACCAGATCTGCCACGGGAAGTAGCAGTGAGGGAGGTGGCCGTGTGAGCGTTTCTGAGCAGCATCTAGCTCGTCCTGACCATGACTGTCATTAGACAATCATAAGACGACAAATGTGTCGGAACGTACATCTACTTCATGCCAGATTGATCCTGTCGCAGGATCATCATACAGCGGCATCTCAATCTTCACGCCATCCTCGCAGTAAAACTTTCGATACGAATACCAGGTGATATGTGGGGCAAGCGAAGGATCTGTCGCGTAGTTCACGGCACACGCCCAAGGATCGCGATACTCGATCTCCACACGATGTTCCGTACCCTCGAAAGTTGCCAAAACAGAGTCTGTCTGGAACTATAGGGTACGTTAGTTGGATAAGGGGGATAGATCGGAACAGATACTGACTGGAACTACATAGCGACGGGCAAACTTCAGGGCGCGGTTGAGATCATCATGATTGCGAAACGTCGTGAGCTTGTTCTCAGCCCATTTACCATCCATCTTCGCTAATAGATGATTCACGGCGCCATCCGAGAGCCCATTCAAGACAGCAAACTCGGCGACCTCGAAATCAGCCTCGCATTTGAACGGGTGGTATGTCGGAAGCCTTGTATTGATATCTTTACGCCGCAGCATCACGGGAGCGGCGGGTCCAGCATACTCGGTAGCCTGGTCAAGAGGTACGATGACCGAACAAGCATTCTCGGACTGTCGAGCATGGTGATGAGGGCGAAGAAGGATGTAAACTGACGGCAGATGAGGTCCGTACACATCACATCCTGTGTGGCCAGGCATCCAATGAGTGCAAGCTAATACTAGTGAATATAAAAGACGCACCATTAGTTACATTGAATATGGGATCTGGAGCCTGGAAGCGGTCAAAGTCGTCGGGCGGATGCCCTGCATCTATGTGTGACTGGTTTGTTTCCTCAACGACAGTCTGGCCATTCGATTAGTGGTATACCGAGGGGAACACCATATATGCGCACCGGTAACGGAGGATTTCGCTTCTGCCGCTTCGGAACTGACTGTATGCGGCGTAACTCGCGCGCCTCTTCGCGCTCGCGAGCACATGCTCGGACGTGTTTATCGTAGCCTGCGAGACCACGGCCTTGAAACACACGAGGGCAATGCGTACACTTTTTGGGGTCCTTGCTTCGTGTAGGCATGCAGAATAGCTAGAGCAGCTCAAGGGAGAGTATCTATGAAGAGTTGTGATGAGGTCAAGGAACGGAGAATAAGCGTAGAGCAGTTCGAGACTAACCGCGGTGGCTCCACGCGACGTGCCGACGTCACCGGGGACAATGACGCACAACCGGACAAGGTAACTCCAGAACATCACCTTCTTGCTGTCCCCCACCTTCCATTCAGCGCAAGCGAACATCACGAGCATGGCACCGCGCCGGCGTGTTGTTCTCAGTGACGATGAAGAGGACGAGGTTACAGGGCCAAAGTCGCCTGGACCCGGGCCGGTGATCAACGACGACGCGAGTCGCGATGAGATTCTCGCCGTGCGTGACCGAGAACATCCTGCCAGAGCATAGCTAACGATGCTGGCAGGCTGCGCGCACACTTCAAGCACAGAACAACCAGTTGCGGGAGCAGCACGCGCGCGATGAACGTGAACGCGAAGAGGCAAGCGAGGAGTCGAGTCGTGGGCCCCGCCGCGGCAAGGAGAAAGAGGAATCAAATCCGGCCGCGCGCGTTGCCAATCACGCCCGCAAGTATGTCCTGACAAAGGGTATTTGGCTACAGACTAAGGGCGTGATCGAGCGCAAGTTTGACGACGCATTCGATCCCGCCGACGCCGATACGCGGTTCGCATCGACTCGTAACATTGCACAGGGTCAGTTACACGATATACTTGAGGTTCTGCCGGAAGAGTACCGCGATCTTGATATGCGCAAGCAATCGTGGCTTCAGTCTGCGGTACGTCGCTCGTTTAGCCTTTACTTCCATGCAGCTGACTTCAATCTACGTCCAGTTCACCTACGGCTTGTATAGCCAGCGAGGGAACACTAACACTCGCCTTCGTCAAACGTGTTTCGAGGACATATTGGGCTCGGAGAACAAGGACGTGAAGCCGAAGCATAAGGCAGACACCCGTCATGACCGTTTCTTGGAGGATATGGGCTGGGATGAGGACATGCGCCTGGACGACGAAGGGACTCGCGGGCCGGGATACAATGCCATGAAGGCTCGGATCATACACGCCGTCAAGGACGACGGTACGATGGACAACACAACTATATTTCGCAACGAAAAATTGTTCTTCGTAAGCTTCGGTATACATATCATGAGCACATCTAACTCACAGGGCGATGCATAGATCTATGCTGCTCTGACGCGTGGGGCGGGAGGCCTCGAGGCATTCAAGAATGGGACCATATACAGCGGCGGGGGCGGCGAGTGTATGGAGTCCAAACACAATCTGAAACACGACGGTATACAGCCCGGCGCCATTGCCGCATGCGGCACCTGGGTGCGTTAGCGCAGCGCATTTCGCCTCATTCATCTGACTTACTCACATCCTATCCTAGGCGATCTGGTTGGTTTCAAAGGACGAGAAGGTCAAGCCCGAAGGCGCGTTATCGGGGATTAACTATAGAGACATCTTCAATACGTACCTCGAGTTTATCTTGAGCGGCCTCCAAAAGCGTAAGCGCGCAGTGCGCGAGCTGATGGACCTGTGGAACCGGAAGTTCTATCCGGGGTTTCAGTCTCGTCCACGCGATCGCGCGGCGCGAGAGGGATCGCCAACGAGCAGCGCTCGGCGCCTCGGCCAGTCGTGGCTGGACGATGACGAAGAGGAGCCTCCCACCGACGAGGAGGCGAACGGATCGTTCACGCCACCTCGGGAGGCTTCGCCGTCGCGCCAACGCAGCTCGGGTTCAGCGGGGCACGCTTCTTCGCCTGGACCCTCATCTCGCGCTTCGCAGCAGCCTAGCGCGGGACCGTCGTCCCGCACACGGCGCGCTGGTAATCAGGGTCGCCCGCGAACTAAGCGCCGTAAGGTGATGGGTCAATTTACTTACGAGGAAAACGGTGTCACGAAGACACAGACGAGGGAAACCTCGATTGAGGTGCCTGCCAGCGAGGAAGAGGGGGATGAGGAGTAGGGTAGATTGTCGATTATATAGAGTAGATATCGTGTTCGTGGATACATGCGAGTTCGAATATCGAATTATGTAGGCTTAGCGCCGACAAGGGAGATCTGTTCGGGATGTAAGTCGAATGTGCCAGAGGGTGCACGATAGTATGGTAGCATACTCGTAAGTACTAGGAGGCCACGAAGACAGGTAGAAAGATAGCTAGGGAATATGTAAGACCATTGAATTCAAGGGAAAGATGATACGCACTGGCCAGTAGCCAATGGCGGTGCACGCGCGCACCCCGCAGGCTCGTTCGCCACAACTCCTTCCACTAGCGAGATCAGTGCCATCCGCTCCCATGCACAGGTTTACCAGCACTCTCAGGTATAGCTTATGGCAAGGAGCCGGCTGAGAGAGCTACGGCGATGGTGGGAGGGGAAGAGAAGCCCAGACGATGATGTACAGCTCTCTGGGTTCTTGATGCAGTCCCAGGCATTGGTGGCCATAAAAGCTCCATATTTTGTCTGGAAAGCTGGCTACAGATGACCCTTTAGTCTAGTAGGTATCTCGCGCGAACTGACCAGACTGACCCCTTTCAATCCCATGAGCTGACGTGTTCGATTCCTGCCGCTGCCGTTCACTAAAGTCCCAAAAACTGGTTCGGTAAATAAAATACTTGAATACTTGAACAACAGATAGCTACGGATTGAATTCTCAGGGTACTACGAGTACCCAATATCCTTTTCCTTTTCGACTATTTTCCTTATTTCCTCCCAGCCCCTTGATCGTGCTTGGTCAAGCTTGGTCAAGCAATATGCTTGATCAAGCCGATAAAGGCCGGTCAAGCTCGGTCAAGCTTGAGAACCCTATGTTGCCTGTGATCAGCCCCGATTCTTGACCGAGCTTGACCAACCTTGTCCGCGCGCGACCACGCTCTGCCACGACTTAGCAGGTTTTCCGACACGTCCGCCTTTACTCAATATCCTCAAACTCTTCCGAGATACCCAGCATCTCGCGAATCTGCTCCATCTCGACGTAAGGATTCTGGTTCCTAAACCATTGAAGGGCCGTTGAGTAGTTCTCTGTTGAACGACGTCAGCGGATGCGATCGTGAAAGGGGAGAAGCGTAGAGTATAGAACGCACCAGTCCAGCGGATGGCTCCCTCGTGGGTGACCAGCACAGCGCGTTGCTTCTGTTCGACGACAACAGGGTCGCATGCGCCGTACGCAGCTTGTTCGGTCTCAAGTGCTGCAACTTCTTTCTGTACCGCGAGCATGCGGGCTTCAGCTACAGCGCGTTCATCCTGCGCAACCATCAGGTCCAAGAGCAACAAGAGTGATAGAGAGGCTGTGCGTACAGTCTGTGGTCTCCTAGCTCGTTCAGTCTCCAATTCTTCCCGAACTTCGGCGAGTTTACGTTCTGTCTCGGCGAGTTCGCGCGTCGCCTTATCATGGCGCGCTTTCACCTACGCATACAGTCAGCTTCGGAGTCAGCAAGGAAATGAGAAGATCACGCACCTCGACGCCACGCTGTGATGGAAAAGACCAAAAGACTACGCAATGGCTGAGACCAGACGCGCATATACGCAGAGGGCGGCACGTACAGTTAGATGAGCCGACCTTATCCTTACGGATCAAGTTATCCTGCTCGCAGGCCTCGACGACGTCCTTGACCGTATTCGATGCTACGGATGAATCGTTTGCAGGGCGGAGAGTATGAGTATAAAAGGATGCGTACTGATGCCCTTCATCTTCTGCCCGAGCTTCTCGAGCTCCTTCAGCTGCGCGACGGCAGTCAGTGGCGTGCATATATGCGCACGGAAAATGACTGCTCACTTGATAAAAGTCCTTCTACATGGCATTCGCGTTAGCATCAGAGAGAAGTAGAATTAAGACGAGTCTGAGAAGACAAGCAAGCTGGGAGGGAATGGATGGCGCGCGTACCGTCTCATGAAAGAGCTCGACGAGCTTGACTTTCTTCTCGTCGAATGACAGTCCTTTACCCTGTTCGTCGTCAGCCGCGACTGCATCGTTCTCGGAAGATAGAGACACATGCCATGTTTGTGCTGTGCTAAGAGGTGGGGAATTTTGTTAGATGAGGGTACGAAAGCAAGGAGCGTTCCTTGACAGGTCGAGCGCGAAGAAGAGAGAACGCGACGCGAAGCGCCCGAAGCACACGTGAGCGCGCATATATGCGCCTCCTCCTTTCCCTCGCGAGCTTGACCTTCTCCTCTAAGTACAAGCCCACCTGGTTCGCGTTCTTCAACATCATTAAGTCCCGTCACCGGGCTGAACTATCAATCTCATAATATTAACAAGTGAAGGGGTGGTAAACGCGTAGGCAAAGCCGACTGTCAATATGTATGACAAGAAAAAGAAGGAGATAATCGGACAGAATGTACGATGCGGTCCGCGGATGGGGGCGAGAGAGCAGCTAGCTGCCCCTAGATGATACTGAGGGAGTGATGCGGTAGGAGATTGAGGTGATGAGAAAGGTGTATGATGTGGCGAGAGTAAGATCTTGAGAGTCCTAGACGACCGAAGGGTCGATCGAACGATATGTTAAAACAGGAGCGGATGGGCAAGCGGTGAGAGGTGGTGGAAACAAAGGGAGCAGTCGTGTACTCTGAGAGAGCTAGGTAAGTCAGAACATGAGCAGTAGTATTGGTATGAGAGAGGAAGTCCGATAAAAGTGAACAGAGATAGAGGAAATGGGGTAGTAGCTGTGGGTAAATCCAGACGAGCAGCAGAGAGCGGTCATGGTACATCTAGCGCATGGGCTCAGCAGCGCTAGGATAGCGATATGCGACAAAGTCAGGTGCCTGCTCAACGAGTGCATCAATATTGCTCCGCCGCGGGTTCGCATGGGTGTGGGCCTGGCTACCACCGTACCCGCTCACACTGCCATACCCGCTCTGGCTGGGCGCGTAACCGCTCACGCTAGGCGCGTAGCCAGCCTGGCTGGTAGCATATCCGGCCTGACTTGGCGCGTAACCTTGACTGGGAGCATAGCCATGCGTAGCGTATTGGCCATGGGGCGTAACGGGGCTCATCGGACCAGAGCCGTATGCACCACTGGCCCGTACGCTGCTATCGCTCCCTGAGGTTCGCGGCTCCTGCACAGCGGCTGAACTATCCCTCCTGCCACGGCCGAGCAACGCGCCGAGGAACTTGCTCTTCCGCTTGCCCTGCGTCGCCGGTGCTTGAGCAGGTGTAAGCAGTGTCGAGGCACGCATATTCGGATGCAAAGCATCGCCAGCGCCGATGCCAGAGAAGCTCTGCCGCCTTCCTGCTTGGGCACGGAAGCCTGGCTCCGGTGGTTGAAGACCGATTTCCTCGTCCGTGGGCATACCGTGCATACCGAACAACGTTCTCGGCCGCTGTTCACCAACACCACGTACCCCCATCTCGCCCGGCAGCGGAGGCAAGCTCTTGTCGCGCCAGCTGCCTGCGCTACCGTTACGACCGATTTGGCTCAGCGTGGCAGGTATACGTGGGACGGGCGGCGCGTTCTCCATGTTTTGCGACATACGCTGGCGCATATCCGGCTCAGACGTCATGTGCGTAAGTGGAGGTGCCATAACTCGCAATGGTGGCGGCGAAACACCCTCCTCAGCGATGAGCGGCTGAGCGGGTGCGTAGCCGTTGTAGCTGTGCTCGCCCTCCATCCCCGGTCCGGACGCCTTGCGAATGTGCGTAACATACATCGGCTCGATGCGGGCGCTGGTCGGACTTGGCAAAGCGCTGCTGGGTGCGCTGGGCGGGGAAACGCTCATACCGGGACCTGCGGATGGCGATATGCTCATGCCGGATTGGGAGATGCTCATAGGACCGGTAGACCCAGAGACGCTCATGGCACCCGACGGCCCGTAACCTGCGGTCGGGAGACTGGGCGTGCTCGAATGTCCGGAACGACGCTGACCGACGAGATAGCTGAGTGGCGGTGGAGGTTCCAAAGGCTCATCCTCTGACCGAATACCCCTCGACTGTTGCTGAGAGCCAACGTCCGAATTCCGCGGCGGCGACTTGGCGGAGGATGAATGGCCAGTGAAACGACCCCAGAGTTTCGCAAGGCCCTTTTTCTTTTTCTTCTTCTCATCCCCGGGCGGACTGGGAGGTGCGGGTGCGGGAAGGGCGGATATTGGCTGTGACGGTTGTGGCTCGTAGGCGTACTCGTGCCAGAGCGAAGATGGGCGCTCAGGTACAAGTCCGTTGTGTGTGAGACGGTTGTTCTCACGCTGGAGCGCAACGCTGGAGATAGCATTAGTGATGATATTCCTGAAAAAAGCAGGAAATATACGCACTGCATGTCGACCATGCTTCCGCTTTGGGCCAAGCTGTCGTTGCTCCTGAAGCCTTGACTGAGATTCCTCATCCCTCCGAAGAACCTCCTCCTCGGGCTCTCGCTACCCGGTACACCAATACTGCCCACACTCATCATGCTGCCGTTCTCGCCACCAAGAGCAGGGGCAGTAAGAACCGACATTGGGCGGCTGGAGAGCGCATGCTGCTGCTGGGACGGGTCGTACGGGTATCCCGCAAGAGGATTGCCCAGCGAGTAGACACTCGCGACATCCGCGACGCTCCCACGACTACTCTTCCTGCTCCTGCCCCTCTTCTCGGCCTTGCGCTTTTCACGAGCCTCGCGCCGCACGTCCACATGCTCGACAATGAGCCCGTTCTCGAGAAGAGTTGCGCCGTCGCCGAGCTTGACACCGTCCTGTTCCGGTGTAACATGACCCTTATGGTGGTCTTTGTGATGCCCGTTCAGGTAAGATTGGGCGAGATCGGCGGTGGAGCGTCGTTGAGCAGCCGCGAAGGTATCTCGCGCGCGATCGGCCGCGCGACGCGCATCTTGCTGGGCGCGGGCGCGGGCAAGTGCCTCGGCCTCTAGAAGGGCGAGCTGAGAACGGACATAGGCATCCAAGTTCATGCGCTTCGCATTGCTCTCCTTGGGATTCTGCACATGGTCGTATATCAGCATCGGTCGTCATATCAGCGATAAGTAGGGAACATGCACGTACCAACGTCAACCAAAGCTTGAGATTCGCCTCTGTTAAGCGCCCACCGCGCGCACGCGGGCGCGGATCATCTGTGGCCGGTGGCGACAGGCCAGCGTCCTCTTCCGCGAGTTCGCGAGCAAGCAGATCCTCGTACGCGGCGTCCGACTCGCGCGCCCAGATCCCGGGGCTCGTGACGTCGACGTCGGCCATATCCTGGTCGCGCATCGCACACTCGACACAAACCTAGTAAGCGTGTGAGAGACCGATTACAGGAGAGCCACATGGAGTATCACGAACCTCCTCCACCTGGGGTTGTGCGACTTGAGCGGGTGCAGGCGCGGCGGCCATGGTCAGAGTCGGGACCTGAGCCTGCGCCCGTGCACTCCCGCTGACGCGGACCTCGTTCCGCTCGCGTGTCCTCTCCCTCTCCCGCTCACGCGTGCGACTGGGCTCCCTCCTGGCCTGTTCCTGCGCGGGTACGGCGCCCCAGACCTCCTGCTGCTGGCTCGGTCTCCGCCCGAGTCCCCACTGCTCTGCCGCGGCCCATTCGGGCGGTGGCGATGGCCGTAACTGCGTCTCGGCCGTAATAGACTGGGAAGGCCGGGCGCCAGAAGGCGATGTCGAAGGCTCGGCGAACCACGCTTGTTGGCCCGCCCGCCAGTCCTCGGACCGGCGCGGCGCCATATCCTCCTCCTGCGCGGCAGTGGTGGGCATTTGAGAGTGATATTGTTGCTGTTGCGGAGGGGCGTAGTCGTCGGGACTTGCCGTCATCGGGACCTCCTCGTCCACCGCGGGAGGGATCTGCGGCGAGTGTTGCTGCTGTGGGCGCGGACTACGGTCCGGCGTGGGCGGGCCGTCGAGTGGGTACTCTGCCATGTTCTCCACGGGCCGTGAGTGCCGCGGCGTTGAGACAGGCGATGGCAGGCCGTTGGGCGCTTCGAAGGAAGTCAAGGACAGGTCGAGGTTGGCGTCTATCCTGCCGAAGACTGGAATGCGTATCAGCGAAAATGCTTTAATCGAAGCCGCACTACGTCACTGAGCAGCCCGGTACGGTAACCCTCGCCTCAGGCGCTAAGCGACCCCCGTCGCACAGAAGAATGTACGCTCGTATCGGGGGCGAGGGCCCAGGGTACCGTGACGCACGGGTGGAATTGGAAGCTGTACGTACGGTTGTCAGGAGCTGGGGGCTGCTGGACCGCTGCGGCCATCCTCTTGTCCCAAGAATAATGAAATCGAGAAACCGGAACACTCGTCGAGGGCACGAGCAGAGACGCGTTGGTGGTCGTCGGAATGAGAGAAAGATTGAAGCAGATGGACTGAGAGCGCCGCCGTTGTACTGGTTGTCCCGATCAGCGTCAGCTGGTCTCCTTAGCGGCTCCCGCTCCAAGTGTTCCGAGCCCAGTAAACACTAATATCCTATCCAACAGTCCCTGCTTTGCTTCGGCAGGACCGGCGACAGAGAAAGCAAGAAGCAAGACGGACGTGTACAGTCGTTGCGCGAGCAAGGCGGTGTGCAGCTGTAAGCTGCACCCGCGGCTCTCGTTGCCCGTTTGTCTCATTGATCGCTTACCAAAGCACTGAACTCTACCGGCGCGCGCGGCGGACGCTGTAAACACTTCTGCTTCTTCTCCCATCCAAGAATCAACCGCATCATACATGCATCTTCCGATTCGGCCTGAAGGAGGGCTGCATCGAACCGCTGCACCCTGATCATCATCGTCCTTTTGTGCATGTCCTTACGCCTGCGAGAGGGTGCACTCGGCGCGCGCAGGACTTCCTGCATCACGACCGGAGGCCGGTGGAGCTCGCTTGGTTGTGATTTCTTACGGTACACGAGGCACGCCACGAAGTCCGGCGCGACCTCTGCACCGTGCCGCCTTCTAGTTCTGACCTCGTTCGTGAAGCTGCCTTGATTTCCGGAATCAGCACACAGTACGGCCTCGTACGACACAACAGCCTCGCCTTGACGAACGAGCGCGGATGATCAACCCTTCTGTGATCAGCGAGCTAGAACGGGGCCCCTCAATTCTCAAGTGAACTCGCAAGTGAAGTGAACTCGCAAGTGAGTTCGCTTCGTGCCTGAATATCAGCGAGCGGTTTCGCGTTTCGCATCAAAGCGTAGCTCACCGGCGCGCGGTTTCTTTGTGCGAGGCGAGGCCGTTGTCGTTACGCTCCGTGACACAGTTGCGCATCGCTGAGCAGAGCAGGCGATACAGAGAGGCTCAGGATCTCAATGGTGGTGCGTGTTCGTAGCTGCTGTTTCGCGATGCCGGCCAGCGTGATAGGAAGCATCGACAGAGAGTACCTCGCTGGTAGGGTATATGCCCCGGAGAGAACTACTCGGGACGGCCGCGTAGTGACACCTGTACTAGAGCGACTGTGTTTAACGGATTTGACTGCGTCTTCTTCGTGCAGTGCTGGGGTCCACGCCCTGACTCGCGGCGCTTCAACTGGTATGGCACTCGCAGACCCATCCCCGTACAGGGCATCCTCCGATCGTACCTCCTGTACTGACCACGGACAAGTCCAGGATGTCACACATTTTGCAGATAGCGTAACGGTATACGTCGTGATGGCGAACAAATCGCGGGAGTCTGCGTTCGCCGGTGAGCTACGCTTTGATGCGAAACGCGAAACCGCTCGCTGATATTCAGGCACGAAGCGAACTCACTTGCGAGTTCACTTCACTTGCGAGTTCACTTGAGAATTGAGGGGCCCCAACGCCGACCGTTCGCTTGCGTTCGGGCCTCCACCTCATTCGGTCAGAAACGCGTTGTGCCTTCGGACGCTCTCAATTATCTGTGGGAGGCGGGCAAAGCGCCGTGCACGGAACGCTGCAGCTTCGGCGTTGAGGTCAGTCATGACATGCATGACCCGTTGTATGCACCTCTGTGAACGACCTCGACAATGCCGGCGGCTATCATCGCAGCGCGCACGAACAGTTGATCCAGGTTGGATCATGCTTCTGCAGAGTCAGTGACCCGCTTCTCAGGATAGGTCCTGGGCGGTACCGCTGGATCATGGAGGGAGTGACAAGACCTGCCCTAGCACAGTATCCGATGATCCATAGACCAAGAAAGCAATGATTATTCACATGTAGAATCCGCGTACGATATACATAACTTATTGTCATTATCTCAAACCTATGCAGCGAAGGATCTCATTCCGCACAGCGGGTATGTGGCCTGTTCATCATCAGTATGATTCCGAAGGGAAAACCGGAAGGGAGCGCACCAAATACAAAGAAAGGTCCCCAACCGGCGAGGACCAGAGCAACATGGTGTGTTCCGAACGGAGAAGGCTTATCAGGGTGATTCGCCAGATCTATCCATGTAGTGAGACCGAAGAGCAAAGTGATAGAGCTGAAAGCACTGCGTGATAGGTTGTGTCAGCCAAGGTACCAGCGCAGAAGATATCGGACAGAACTCACATCTGGAAAAGGATGATGCGCCATAATGCGCTTGCGAGTTCGGGCGAGCCTAGGAAACTCACACCGCCTTCTAACGCCATGAAAATAGCCCAGTCAGCTCAGCGCCTTCCTGGTGGGCCAGAGTCACTCACTGAGGCCGGTAAATAATGGCGGCAGATGCGCCGTCTCAACGTCGGGGTCGTCCTCAAGCCCCATAATCCCAATGCGCCCCTCCTCGCCAAACGCTGGAGGTCGCCCAAGCACACGGTGCACCACACACTTTGGCGGCTCGTCTGGCGGATCGTGAACATCCTTATCCGTCTCGTCCTCCTCCTGTATCGTCCACTTCGAGTCGATGTCCACCATATCTCGGATGGTGACTCTCGTTGGTAACGATGGTGCACCTGTACTGGGTCGTCGTGGGAGGTGAAAACCATGCACCGTCGCATCTTGCAACTCAAGAGATGTGCGTTCTCGAGATGCCGAGCCGGGCGATATGGGTAGCGGGGGTAAAGGCCCGAAGATGTCGTCTCCCCGTTCTATGGCAGCACCAGGATCAAACGACAAGTTGTGTATGGGCGCCATGGGCTCAGGCGGAAGAAGCGGGTTCTGCGGGTTGTACCGCACCGCGGCAAAGATGATGGGCGAGGGCGTCTCTGAGCGACTATGTACGGATGAAGATGAGGGAGACGGTGGTAAGGATGCGTGCGCGTCGCCGGGAGATGCATGGGGAGTCTCATTAGTTTGTGTCTGCGCAAGAGAATCTAGCATGGAGCTGGTGATAGACTTGGTAATGGATAGCCTGCTGAGCCTGCGGTGTTCGACGTCCTGAACTCGGTTCTTCTCGACTCCCATATGTGACGGTAGTCCCAGGTTGGAGAGGCGCTTGCGGCGGGCAGCACGTGTGGGTAGTTTGGGGTCCGTAGCTCCTCCCACATTCATAGACACTCGTGATAGCCAAGATATACGTTTACGAGGGTCCGAGCGAGCGAGAGGACATGACCTCGAGACTTTGATGAGTCTGCATGCGGTGACGATAGATAACCCGAGACATGGCAGGGAAAGAAGGAAAGGTGCGCCCGCAAAGCCGAACATACGAGGCCAGAGAGGATGGGTGATGTCGCATGTTAGACCGTCGATAGCCTTAATAGCGTGTACTTTGGCCGAGATGATGACGAAAGCGACGGTGCCCATTAATGGCCAGATGCCAACGAAGATAAGATATATATTCTTCCACTCCAGGGGATTCCTGGAAGAGAGCAGTGAATTAATCTCTACGGACTAAATGGCTGTGCATAACACGCACCGTCGGTGACTCAAGGGTCCTTTCTTGAGGTTGAAAACTGTAGAATACGTGGAAAGCGCGAGACAGGCGCAGACACCGCTGAGCATAAAGGTCCCAACGTGGAGCATAAAGGCCTGGGCAACGCAAAAAGCTCGAGGCATATCCGAAGGATGCATATCCCAGATCATGCCTAAGAGACATGACATGTCAGTACCAGCAATGGTCACGATATTCAAGCATGACGCACCGAGAACAAACATCACTTCCATGACAGTGATCGTGGCTCCGAAGAGCATTTGCCCCCACCAGTAACCCGTAGCCTTTGAGAACGGCACAAGCACCAACCACGACGCTGGGATCGCTGCGGAATTAACGTGAGCACACGACCCCTGCCGACGCCACAGGAAACCTCAAACCTGTCGAGGAAAGCACCGTCCAGGCTACCCTGAGGGCCATGGAGGGCGACATGGCTCAGAAAGCACGCTGGGCGAAACACAGGCACGAGAATACGAGTCCAACAAATCCGAGAGGTCGTCGTTCAGAACAGGCGAAGGTCTCCGGGTCGCGCACGAGCGGACTCGTCCCACACTCATATCACCATGCCCGACTCTTATGCCGGCCCAGAAGCGCCCCGTACTATACATGATGACATTGAGTCAACGGCGACCAGCTCCAAACTGCGCGGTCCATAGGAAGCGGATCACTGTTGCTTTTCCTCGGCCGGTTCTCTTCGTATAAATCCGTAGTCCAAGCCCCTTGACCGCTCTTTCCGTTAGCAGCCTTGACTCCTGTGGAGGCAGGGGAGGCGCAACTGTAGCTGAAAGGGATCATCTCTACAATTCGCAATGCGGGTATATGCGCGCGCCTGTGGCTGGATTGGCGCCCGTTGCCACCGTGATGGCAGAGACGAAACCGCGCATCATTCCGAACGCGCGCCCAGCGTGATGGCTTCCGGCTAAATCCGCACACGACAGGTCTATGTCAGAAATGCAAAACAAACCGCGTCCAACATGCGTACATAGGGACGCTGTCACCACCAAGATCTCGATGCACAGAACTGCTAGAGTGCTCGACAGGCTGTAGTGCGTACTTGACCTAGAGTTTTTCTTCGGTCGCCCTGCCTGAAACCTTCTGCCGTCATGTACGGCCTGGCCTACCGCCGGCCCATCTTCCACCACATCCATCAACGTCAATATTCAGTACCTGTAAGGCTGTGCCATGTCAAATATGTCATCGCACGTCGCTTCCTATCTCCCACATCTTGACAGATATTTCACACTCGTTCACGCGAGCAAGCGAACCGAATAAAGACAATGCATCTCAAGACAAAACAGCGACAGGAGATACTACGGCAAACGAGATACGACGACCCTCATCATACAGCTACAGCAAAAGGCACGACAGGCCTGTGGACCGGCGCGTCGATAGAGATAAACATAGGCGAGCGAGCGAGCGCGAACCGCCGGAAGAAGCGTGTACAGGCGATCAAGGCGGCGAGGCGAGCAGGCGGACATGCGCATGGGCGAGACGGCGGAAAAACGGAGATGCGTCGAGGGCGACGGTGACGACGAACGACATACAGAGGAAAAGAAATAAACATGCATCAACATACATATACAACCCGAAGATAGAAAGCAAGCGCTGCATTACCACGCCTCGGGCATCGAGTTGAAGTCGCCCGGCCATCCCGTTACACGAGTGAGGTTCATGAAGATGCCGTCTGAGCCGTTCACGGGCAAACCGAGGTCCGTCATGCTCTACGAGATGACGATCAGTATCCTCATCCTTGAGTTGACGTAGCATAGATGTGGACGCACCTGCTCCTGGAGCCATACAGGAATGTCGCTGGGGTGCAACGGCGGAGGTGCGGCTTGCGAGTTGGGCCAGGAGAAGCCCAGCTCCTCCATCGTGAACGGTGGCGGGGCGGGTTGGGTCTCGAAAGCCCCTGACATCACGTCCGGTCCGCCGCCAGGCGTTGCGCCTTGTGGTGGCAGCATGCCCATCTGTCAAACACAAATGAAGTCCGTTAACACCGTAGAACGCGGCCAAGACCAGGGGTGTCCACGTACCTTGCGGCGAAGATTGGCAAGCATGATACGAAGCGTGAGCGCGTAGCGCTCAGCCGCTACCTCCGAGAGAAGCTGGGCGAGCTGCTCTACCTGGACGGTGATTGCGCCGAGGTCGAGTTCGGTGGGGAACAGGTTCGCCATCTTGAGCAGGAACAGGCCAGAGAATGCCGCCGTCACGAGACTATCGTGCACAGCGTACCTGAGGGCCGCCCTGTGTGATGAGTATCAGTGGCACGAACCGATGAGAAATAAGATGAGATGGACTTGCCGATAGTCGGGACTGCCGAGGAAGGTCGAGAGACAGTTCGACGCTGCGTCTTTAGCCTGGAACGCAAGCTCGCGCTGTTCGAAGGGCATCTTATCCCAACTGACGTCGCGGAGAGCCACACAGACAAGCCAGAGCTTTGCATAGTGCAGTTCGCCCGCGAGAACTTTGCGCAAGAGGCTGTCCTCGTCCATAGACTGTCTATGAAGCTCGTCGGAGTCCTGCCACCATTTATCCAACGCCACGTTCGCGCGGCGGATGAAGCTGAGCGTGGCGTGGTTGACCTGCCCATGCGTAGGGTGAACCGTTTCGTAGATCTGCGTCTTCTGCATGATCAACTCGACGAGTGCAATCAGGCGAACGTCCGTGGGTGACGCCATGGGATGCGACAACAATATACGGCAGTTGCGAATGCTCGACTCATCGCGAAGCACTATCGGACGGCCGGTGCCCAGGCTCATCTGGTGATCAAACCAGTAAAGGCAGAGCCATATACGGCTAGAGACAACAAGGTCACGTTCTTCATCTTCTGTGCGCTTCTTTGCATGCTCTGGGTCTGCGAGCTTCTCGAGAGCGCGGTGAAGACCGAGGTCGAGCGCCATGCGCATGGCATGACCGGAGGGTAGCCAACCATTGGTGCTCCAGGCGGCGAGGAGAAGCATGCCTTGAACGGCCTCCTTGCGCACGACAGGCCCGAAGAGTGACGAGCGGGCGATGCCTTGCGCCTCTTCCAAAGCCTTGTAGAACGTGGGTCCAGGTTGGTTGTTCCCGCTTCTAATCTTGCCTGCGACAGCCAGAATAGCATCGAAGGTCCACGGAGAACGCTCGCGGACGCCCTCGTACGTATCGTAAGCGGGATCGAAGAGCGGGATGAACAGGTGGCACCCGGAGAAGAATCTGTGTGAGCGTAGCGTTATCAGAGATTGGCACACGTGTCGAGGACGGAGAAGACGGACATGTGGAAGAGCTCGCGGGCCTCTCCGTCAGACACCAGGCCTTTCTCGACGACATGCGGGAAGGCATTGCGTGGAATAGGCTCTGCCCGCTTGCGCTTCTTGACACCACGGGTGGGAGAGAATGATGGGGCTGCTGCCGCCTCGGCTGCAGCGTTAGCCAGGCCTTGAAGAGCCTCGATTGGAGCATTCAGCGTCGAGCGGGGCAGAGTATCCTCGCTCTCATCGTCGGAAGATGGTGCTGTGCTGGGTACAATTCCGTAAGTACCATATTTGTGGGGCTACAAACGCATCTTTGAGTCGACAGCATCAATGATCAGCGAACAATTGAAACGTACTGGGGGCGCAAAGCCTGGGAGTGGCGGGAATTGGCGGGCGCTACCTGGACGGTCGTCCATGAGGGCTGGATCGTACACCCCGGGCGGTCCGCGCACACCGGGAGGGTTGTAGCTGCCATTCTCGCTGCGAGGAGTGGGCGGGAAAGCGCCGGGTGGGGGCATTGCCTGCGCCTGTACCGCAGCCAGGATGCGGTCGAGCGACGACTGCATGCCAATCATCTGGCTCTGCATGACCTATTCCGATATTTCAATGATCATTATTCGAGTACAGAAACATTGCGAACGCACGACGTATTGTCCTTCCAGCCTCGAAAGTCGTCTATTAGATTGGGACGATCAGCATCATAAGGATGGATAGGAGCCAAGGACGACGTACTCAACGCTGGCGTTACCCATGACCTGGGCATTTTTCTTTTCCGGTTTCTCAAAGACGCACGGGATGCCCGCGAGCTGGCAGCGGCGGCAGGGAGCCTGGAGGAGAGCACATCAGCGGGTCCGGCCCGGGCGGCGCTGGCGGGCAGGCGGGAGGGCCACACCCGCTCGCTCGCAAGAGTAAAACATATTAAAACCAGGCTCACCTCGCCTTCGCACCGGTTCTTGCCCTTCCTGCACGCCGTGCACGCCCGCTGGCCCCGCTTGGGGATGTGCCCCGGTGGGATCATATTCATACCATCGTCCGACGGCCCGCCCAACATCGGTCCGTTGTGCTGCGAGAACGACGTCCGGCGCCTCTTCTGGGGGTGATTGGGATCCAGACCGGAACCGTCGTGTATGCCGTTGCCGTTCGACACTGTGGTAGACGGTGAGAGCGACATTCCGCGCGACGGACGACGCGACGAGGACAAACGCGGGAGTGCGGCCCGCGCTAGCCCCTGGGCTTATTTAAACGAACGCCCATTTAGCGCGTGACTCTCAGCTCTACCCGCTTGTCCTGCTTGCATCCGCAATCCACCACCCGCACCTTCGAAACCCTTTCCCATTCGAATCAGAGCCGCCGGCGTGCACCGCGTCCATTGGCGCTCCCAAAAAGTCTTACTTTTCCCTCGCTCAGCCTATTTCACACCCCTGCTGCTACGAGCCGATGTGAACGTTCTATATCTACGTGGTTGCCGACTTCGGCCTCCTCTCTGCACAACACACGGCCTATAGTCCATCCATGTCCGCGTGCGGGTGGAGGACATGCCTACTCCCATATGTGCCTGTGCCCTGGAGTACTTGTGGCTCGTACGCTTCTTACAGCCCCCGCATTCGTCTACCCTAGCGATTCTGCTGTATGCGTACCTTATACGATGTCGTGACTACGTCGCCCGATCTACCCGAGTTTTAGTGTGTGACGACGAGCCCGAGCGCTCGTCTCCAGTGTTATAATGCGCAGCGTTTTTTCGTTGGAGATCACGACCGTCGCTAGTCATTGGGCCAACGAGCGGCATGCTGAGGCCTAGGTTTACCCTCGTTGATTAATCTGGCTCTGCACGTCAGAGGGCGGCTATGGCGGATTTTATTCTTGAAAGTCGATTATAGTTTCAAGGTTTAAAGCTAACATGTGCCGCCACGTCAAGTATATGTGAACCATCTACTTCGGACAACGAACCCAGTCAGCTCGGATCGCCCAGCTGACTTGCTTAGTTTATTAGACTCCGCTGTGCGGCGGTATGCTCTCGTACTTCTGATATTCTTTTTGCTCAAGGCCTCAACGGCCTCAACTCTTTTCCCGGTACGCAACTGGCTTCTTGTTTGTCGGTCAGGCTCTGAACTCGTCATCAGCCTCGGGACCGATTCCATTATCTCTTCATTGCCCGGATCTCCAGGGACAATTATGATCGAACTCATCGCTGTCCGATCTTTGTTTTCTGCGGTTCCGAGAAGAACATGAGGATCGCATGCTCCCCTAACGGAACTCGGAAGAGGATAGTGATTGACGATTGCGCTATTCAATGGCTTGTTGGACGTAGCGGACGTGCTTCCGAGAACTTGTCACATCATACAGCTTCTCTAGGAGTGAGGGATCCTGACGACCTCGCAGAACATACATTGACACCATAGACTTCAGTCAATACAACGAAGCCGCGCGGCGGTCCGCCCCGTGAGCTGCTCTCATGTTCAATACACCACCAGCAACGCTTGACATGTGAGTCCCGGTGAAATAGGCTGCTCGAGCGAGAAGCTCCTGCTCGACAACGACACGTATATCGGTCAATAGAAGTGGCCAGCCAAGCTCGTCGAGGTCGTCTTGGCTGAGGATGTCCGGTAGCAGGATGGCGCCTTTCTCGCGGAAATGAGCGCGTGCTGTCACGTCGCGCTCGTCCGTCGCAAGGTAAAAAGGGTCGCCTTCTGCGGGCGGAGGGCGTTCGGCCAACGACGGGTCTACGCTCGCATTCGGCACGGAGTACGGCTGGACGTTACCTCCGATAGTTTCTAGCAAATGTCGTGCGTCCAAGAGGCGACTCTTCACCATTCGCATGTGCCCTTCGTGGCTCCTCGAGGCGGCCCAGTTAAGGTTAACAACTAGGGATTAGACGTGCAGTTAGCCGAATAAAGTCCAAGGTTGGAGCCGTGGAAAGGGTGCACATACAATCACCGCGACGCATATGCGCCCCTACCCACAACCGCCCACCCGTCTTTTCGTACATTCTCCCGGCCAATCTCTCGGCAAGCTCTTGCAATGGTTGTGGAGGTTGTATTGAGTACAGCACGTCACTCTGGAATTGCTCCAGCCCCAGATCGGTTGTAAAGCGCATCGCGCCGGCCTTCCGCCCGTTGTGTATCTCGCCCTCTAGAAGAACTACGTGTGCATCAATGTCGGCGAAGTCGTCCACGAAGCCACGCAAAGTTGTGCGCTCTATGACTTCCCGGATGGGCTCGACGACAGACTTCGCCAGGTCGGAACGGCGCATGCTCTCAAAGGTGTGCACGACTTCCCAGCCATGGTCCTGGAGCGCGTCGAGGGCTCCCGCATCGGTACCGAGGTTATAGTCGTCTGCAGCTGAGGTCTTGCGGAGAGTGTTGACAGCATGATCCCAGCTCAGCGTGCCAAATAACCCATACTGAAAGCGGAGCTTGCGCGCGACTTCAGCTCCCTCCTTCTCCTCCCACTGCCCACTAGCCCCACTTTCTGTGGCGTCACCAGCTCTCCAACGGCCTCGGACTTTCATGTTCTCCGTGAGCCTGTCAACTCTGCGCGCCTCCTTCGTATCATACCACCCTTTCTGGATAACGAATAGGTCCGGCCCGAGCCGGGCCTCTTCCAGCGGCCCCGTATCGTGATACGCTTCACGTTCCCACACTCCTTCCTTGTTCTCGATATTGACTGGTAGGCCATGCAATCGGAGAAAGTCTGACACGAGAAGGACAGGGTGTAGTGTGCGCATGGCTGTGATGTTCAGCATGAGCTGGATGGGGATGCGATAGCCCATGTGTCTGTATTGTTCGAAGGGTAGCTCTCGGCATTTGTTCGCTGTGCTCGAGCAGTCTGCGCACGCCTCGACGCCTTCGAAGCATCCGCGTGCATAGACAAAGGAGGGTAAGATGAGAGTGCGATTGAGTAGACGCGCCTGTAGAAACGCCGTGTCTATGATATATCGCATCTGAAGAAGCAAATCCCGATTCAGTACTCTTGCGGCGACGCTGAATGGAAGATAACGTAGCGTACGTTATTCCAACCCAGCCACAGGCTGTAGTCGCGGGCGTAGAACCCCTTCGTCCGGGAAATCATGCCCGATAGCTGATCAAGCTCCAAGAGATGGTAGTTGAGCAGGTGGGCGGGTACTTCGCCCGACCACGAAGATGTAGCCATTTCGGACGCGTGTAGCGAGGGGTCTGCTGGTTCTCCGGCGAGTGACGGCCGACGTACCCTCTCGACCCAGTTCGTATCACGAAGTCGGATAACGGTGACTTGCATCAACCCCAAGAGACCTAACAATGAGACTAGGATAACGAAGCCTGACAGAATTGGGTGCATCCTCCGCCAGCGAACGAGTGAGTGTCGAATTCTGCCTTTCTTCCGAGTGATAGAAGTCGCAACTTCAGTGTATCTTGGCGAATCTTCTTTGTCTGGCGATATTGATGATTGCATTCTTGAGCGCCGGATTGTGGGAGTCGGAGATGACATGGCTGAGAAGTGATACCACACACAGGGTGCGCGAATCGAGACTCGGAAAGCGGGTGAGGTAAGACGGACAAGATGTTGCCAGACACTCAAGCCCTGTGCTTATGAGTGAATCTCACATGGCGGTAAGTAGACAAGCCAGAAAAGCCGCAAGCGTCGGGCGACATTGTCCGTGAAATCAAACTTGATCAGCTGAACACGTTGCTCGGCGTCAAGCGCGGGAACGGCACGGGCTGCTACAACAGGGTCCAGCAGTGATATCTGCGATATCAATAGCTTCGGCTCCAAGATGGTACTCATTTGTCCAGTATACATGCGATACACGAGCAGGGGACCTGTGACCTCTATCAAGACATCGGCTCTCCGTCTAGATCACCCATGGGCTCTCCATCCACATCCTCCATGGGTGCACCATCCACATCGTTGAAGGGGGTGCCATCCAGGTCATCCATCGGTTCGGCGTCAAAATCGAGCGGCTCTCCATCAAGAGCCAGAGGTTCGCCATCGACGTCCACCGCCGCTGAAGACATCGGTTCGCCGTCGACCTCGTTAAGCGGGGCTCCATCGAGATCATCGGGGAGAGGCTCGCCGTCGGCTTCGCTATCCAGCTCCATCGCCTCGCCATCATCATCATTCTCCACCGGCGCGCTCGCAGCCGAGGCGACGGGCGTCTCCGCCGCCATATCTTCGGCAGGCTTGAAGGCGCTCGTCTTGAACCTCGACACAACTGGAACAGGAACTTCGGCCTCTGAGACGGCAGGCTCCTCCGTCTGCTCGAGTGCTATCTCTTGACCCTCCAGACGTTGCCTTAACTCAGCCGTGAAGTCCGGAGGGAACACAATCCAATCGTCCCATATATCGACAACTGAAGTGACTTGCGCCTTGAACGTCTGCGCGGTGATGCGCCCAGGGAATGAGTGATAGATGGTGCTTAGATGATCGAAGACCAAGCCAAGCCGGCTCTGGAACTCTTGACGGAACTTCCAGGCCATCGGCAGCGGCGCGGCGCTGTTGTGCAAGATATCGCAGATGAGGTATAGACGAGCGATCTTCCGCGGCACCGGTGTGCCATCTACAACCAACGACGCGATGATGATGTCGGCGACCTTCACGAAAGTACGTAAGGGTCCAGTTTTCGATGAAGTCGAAAGCATTGCACATACTTCATTCGCAGCTTCCGCGTGCTCAAGGCTGAAAGCCATGCACCGTGCAATCTCCTCGCGAGTCCCAGTCAGTGCTCGAAGCATCGCCTCGAAGCGCCTGCGGGCAAGTCGACCTAGCTTTGATCTGCGCATATGTTCTCGCTCCGACTCTTCGGCCGAATCAGTCGAATAGATGCTGTTGTACCCCTATCGCGCATATCAGAGGCTGTGATGCTGCAGCATTAAGCGATTGCTTACCTCATCCACAAAGTCTGGCTCAATGCCGCGCTCGCGATCCAGAAGCGACTTGTAGAACCGATGCTTACGGTGCTGAAGCCAATTCAATACAAGAAAACAACTATAGCCGCTGAACATGTACCCGAGAGTCGGTCAGGAAACCATAGCGCGAGTTGGTCTTTTCGCGTTCGCGCAAGCTCTCTTCGTATTTGTCGCCGTGCCCGCGAACCTCGCTGGCCACCGTACGGATGTAGCCGGCGGAGGTTTCGTCATCATCTGTCAGTGGAGATCTATCACGTCTGTCGTGGCGAGAACGGCTGTCCGACCGGTAGCCTCGGGGCGAACGAGACCTGCTATGTCCACGAGCGCGGTGTGGAGGACTACGCGAACGTCTGGATGACCGTCGAGGTGGCGAAGGAGAGTGCGAGGGAGAGCGGCCCGGCCCGCCGATATGGGAGGAGCCTGGTGCTCGTTCTAGCGCTACACATTGTTCTCAGATGTGAGCAGGCGATTTACCCAGACACATCACGTACAGTATTTCGCGTAAGGGGCAACCGGGACGGCCTTACTCCAACCAACACGAAGAACAGAGCCTTCCCATTCGCATCCATCAAAGTCTTGTAGGGCTTTCTCGGCACCTTTGCGTTTCATGAATGACACAAAGCCACTCAGGCCAGCGCCTTTGGCCCTACGCGAGCTCGTCAGATCTGCGCCTGGTCCTTGTGTGCCATCTGTCCGTGGCCACATGATCTTGACAGAACCGACAGGTCCAGCCCGCGCGAAGTACATGCCGAGGCTCTGCTCAGTCACGCTGCTAGGCAAGTTTGAGACGAAGACGTTTGAGGTCTATGCAGATGTCAGTCAGCCTGTAGCTATCGATTATGAAACCCTGACCTCGGCATCGCCACGATCTTTGCTGCCACTTTGGCCTTCGTATGCTGTGAAGTATTCAGTACGAAGCCAGGTACAAGACTAGTCATGCATACCTGCCATCGAAGTTGCCGAACTGCGCTCTCGCCCTCCGCTTCCACGCGCAAATCGCGCTTCCCGGTCGGCTTGTTCCCTGTAGCTCGTGTAAGGGCGCTTACCACTGCGCCAGGGACACGTCCTACATACCTCTTGATCTCTTCCAGGAATGCATCCATGGCACGCTTGCCCTTTGGCCTAGCAGGACCTACCGGAGACGGAGACTGGGGACGATGAGCGATTGTGTACATTGCTTAGCGTTGCAGCTCACCCTGGATTTTTCGAACGCACGCATGGTTCTGGAGGCTTGCGCTCGCGGCGCAGACGGGGCGTATGTTCGACCCTCTTCTTTGGACGAGCGCACAAAAGCGTTGCGCGGCCTGCTGCGATCCGTGTCTTCGCCCTCGAACGCCTCGACGAACTCTGCATAGGCCTTCTTTGCATATTCCTCCTCCTCTCTTTGTTTCTTTTCCTCTGCCTCCTTTTCCTTCTCGCGCTTAGACTTCTTGACGGTGCCGTGTGCGAACACGTTCATCTTATCGGAGTCTACGACATTCTTCTGCAGTAGTGGAAACTCTCGTGAGCGCCAATGACCTGAACGAATATTTGTGTCCGTCGCACTGAAGCGGGAGATTCCTCGTCATTTGTGTCGAAGAACGCGGATAGGCGCTTCTTGGTCGGGTCCATAACACAATTGAAGATGCGACAGGTAACGTGGGAGCACTGTCGGGACGCGACGAGAGGTAGTGGGCGTGGTGAAGAGTCAAGTGAGGTCGCGCCTCCCCGCGGGGTGTGGCTCGTGCTTGCGTCTTGCCATCAAGTGTCTAGCTAGCGGCCAAGTCGCCTTGCCTCAGGCTCTCCCATCACGCTCTCAAACGTCTTTCCAGTCCACGATGAATAACTATAGCTGGTTCGAGTTTCCATTGTTACATACAGGCAGCAGAGCAAAAGACGATGCGTGTGATGATACGAGCAGACGGAACTTCCGTGCATTACACCTTGGCGGCGAAGATGTCAAACTTCAGGGTCTTGATACCCTGGATCCACAAAGATGTATCCTCCATGAGATGGTACGCAGCGTGTCCATTCAGGTGCAGCGCTCGGTCAGCCTGATAGCCTGAGTCAGCGTCTCCTTGAGGATAGCATGGCACCACTTTATACGTACATCGCTATAGAACGCCGCGAATAGAGCGAATGTCGTGTCATCGTATTGTATAGCGAACCAGTATGGCGTTTCCTCCTCTTCAAGTATCTCGTTGCTATATTGGCCCTACATGCACGTCAGTCTCAAGGAGAACGGCATCTTCTCGGTTAACAGACCGTGATAATGCTTCGAAGTTTGCCACCGAAGCCTGGGCGTGCTTTCATGATGATCTGGGCACCTCTTTCAGGAGTGCGAGCGTCGCAGTCGTCTGGGAGTTTTGTCCCAAGGAGGTGTAACGGATGCTTCCTAGGCTCTCCCTGGAAAAGCTGTGCATTCTCCTTGAGCGCCTTCGCTGTGAGATTGATGCCATTCTGCCCATCGTGAGCTTTCGCTTCGGCGTAAGTGTTGAAGACACCGAAGCTGGTATTGGGCGCATCCGGCCCATTGTCAAGCTTGTAAGCGAACCAGTGACGAGTCTGCGACTCCGTCAAAGCATCAGCTCGCACGGCGCCCAACACGTCTTGGACACGGCCCGCTTGTTCCGCCTGCGTATCGAAGAGGATTTGGATGCCATCTGTATTCACTATAGGGAACGCGCGCTCGGGTTAGATATATCCACGAAGCGAAGAGAGCATCCACGAGACCTTCAGTATGTACAGGTGCTGGAACCATAGCCCTCTATCTTCAGATCTCAACTGCGAGTACGGCCGTGGTGGTTCTGGTCAGAGAACAGATCGCAAGGTCCGGCAACGCCTGACGGCGCCTCGCTCACCTAGGCTTTGTATTTCCTTCGCGAACAAGTGACGTCCTATCACCACATGCGCTTGATCTTCGCGACCGATCTGTCGACGTCTAGCTTGCACAGGCCTCAATCAGACCCGGCAAGCGTTTAACTGGCGCCTACAATGCATACGAATGTGGCTAGCAGGGCCACTTCTCCCATGGTTTACGGCATCTATGCTTCACACCGTGTCAGGTTGCGCGCGCGGTGGTACGCCACCGACTGCGAATATGCCAGAAATAACGGCCTCCATTTCATCTCGTGCATCATACAGTCATACAGGCGCTTTTCACGGGCCCTCGACCACATCGAAGCATGAAAGAACGAAGTTACACCGCACTGTGAGTACAAGCAACATACAGAGTGCGGTCTCAGAGAGGCGACCGACGACCGGCTTCTGGCCGGTAATGGACGCCGCGAACAGAAAGAAGAGCGGAGTCGGCGAGCATCCGACCTTCGTGCAACCGCGATAAACATCTCGCTCCCTACATCATCAAACTCGCAAGACCTCCCTGGGCGTACGCCATGGGCCTCATTGGAGGATGCGGTTGTGCTTCGAACTGGAAGTATTCTTGCGTTCCTCTCGCGTCAATGCGGATCTAACAGAGCGTCAATCACGGTTGTACCAGCACGTCAGATGGGCAGATACGCACAAATGCGCCTTTGTTGCCCGTCTGGTCCACGTAGTTGGGCGCCGAGAATACTGTTGTACACAACCCGTTGTGTTCGATAGCATAGCCGTCTGAAAACAGACACGTTAGCGAGTCACAGACATGTTGAGCGCTTCCACCGACCCATTCGAACTTCGTGGCTACGAATGACACCAGTAACTCCGTTTAGCTCGCACCACCGTCTTGTGACATCGGGCCCAAAGGCAATGCCGACGCCCTTCACGACCGAGTTAGCAACTGGAACTTCCAAAGTAGAATAACCTTACGCGTTTGCTCGGGCCGCGACCGGGGACCTCTTGAGGGTCCGTCCAGAGGAGCTCGCCTGTGGGGCGCACAAGTTCGAGATGAATCTAACGCAAAACAATGTGCACACGTACACATGATGCCCTCGTTTCCCGGCTGTTTGCCAATACGGTCGATCTTCTTGATTTCGTCCAATGTCACGCCGTCCTTACTGAAGAGTCCGCCGTGCGTGACAAAGTACCGTTTGAGGCCTTCTGACGACAAGATAACGCCTTTCTTCTCTGCTGGCGGTTGTGTCGCGCTGATCAATGTCGAAAGAGGCACTGTAGTCAAGCTTGAGTTATCGCGTAAGCGCGATTACACATTCAGACACGTACTGGCGGTGAATACATAAGCGAAAAGCTGCAAAGTCACAAAGCTATCATTTGCGCATGATCAGCTCCGAGAGGATCGAATGACATACCTTGTAAGTCTGCTCCCCGTGTTTATGTTTCGCCTCTCCTTCGAAGCCGTAGGCCTTGTTCATGTCTTTTGTTTCGTGGTTTCCGCGGTTGATGTACATCCGTTTCGGATACAGCCCTGATGCAAGTGGGTTGAGTGGTACGCGTAGGCTGTAGACTGAATGACAAGGGCGCACATTTGTACGCGAAGGCCAGTAGAACTACCTCTATTGACCAGGATCCCCGATCGACGAGATCGCCGTTCATTAAGAACATATGGTTATCAGAGGGCGTTCCGGTCAGGGAGAAGAGATGTAACACGTCGTAAAGCTGGCCTAGAACAAAATGAGTCAGATCTTCCCTCGATAGCGTATTCCTGGAACCCTTACCGTGTACATCACCGATGACATCGATGGTCGTGCCCTCGGGTACGGGCACATCCACAAGACTGGGCTCGCTCGCGAACGCCTCGTACGCGCCGAGTACAATCTCCCACACATATCGTTTCGGGAGGGTCTTGCCTTCTTTGAACCATGCGATCATACTCTGGATGAATTCTGGAGTGATACTATATTTGCCATCCTGTTCAGTCAACGTAGGGCCGACGTAACCCTTTTCAAGGAAACATCCGCCTGTGAACGAGAGTCAACCCCTAGAAGTGCGTAGACATGCGACCACTCACCATCGGCGATAATCTCCCTACACCGGTCCACCGCACTCTGCTCTTCTCCAACCTCGATGGCCTGACTGTACTAAGTGTGAGAGTTCATCGTAATTCAGAGCGAACGAACCTTCTCAAATTCGATCCTTCGCAGTAACTTCTGTGTCGACTCAAGCTGCGACTTTACCGACGTATTTCCGGGTTCAATCTGCATGACCTTCTTGAGATCGGATATGGCAGCTTGATACTTCAACAGTTGTATGTTGCACATCGCGCGCCTAGCGATAGCACTCTCAACGGGTGCTCACGCGACCAGGGATTGGGGTCCGTACCTGTAGTATGCCTTTGCATATTTGGGATTCAGTTCAATAGCCCTGGCTTCCTAGACGTGAGTACTAGGTCACAACCGAAACATAGTATACGCACTCGCATCATGCATGGCGTAGCCATGTTCCTCAAGTTTAATGCGGGTGTATGCGCGATTGCAGAAGAGCGTCGCGTCCGAGGGGTTATGCTCGATCGCTTGTGTGTATAGATCGGCAGCAGCGTTGAAATCATGACCTGTTCCGAGATAAACATTCAGACATCTGGCCCAATAAGACAGGCTAGACGCACTAATGAACGCCTTGTTCGCCGCAGCCTTGAGTTTGGCAGCTTCGGCGAGATCCTGCTCGGAAAGTTCCTTTGGATCGGATAGGCTGAGGGTCGAAAGCGTGGGCGAGGGCGCGCTCGACGGCGGGGTAGAGCGGGCCGACAGCGCCGGAGACGATGGCGTTGATGAAGACGCGTCTGTGCTCATCGTGGTACACAAGCAAGTGAGCAGGTGGTGAGACTTTCGCCCGACCACTGCGACTGTGGACGCGGCCACGTGCGTTTCATCGTCTTCGCGCATCGCGTTTTGTACGGCCATCGGATAAGATAACGGAATCTCACAAGGTGATGAGCGTGTTATAAGTAAGTGCCGTATGACCAGTCATACGTGTATGTACAAAGATACGAGAATACAGGTTGAGTTGAAACGTGCTTCGACGTTAGAGGGTAGAGTAGACGGGTCGGATTACCCAGCAAGTAAGATCCCCCATTTACAGCTGGTGAATAAAGAGCGCGTAAGTCAGGTATCGGCCGTGAAGGGTATCTCAAAACGGAAGGGCGTAGGCGCTTAGTCGGAGCCGCACACCTCGAGGTTGAAGTAGGTGCCGAGCTTGATAGGGCTGTCGTAGGCACTGTAACCTAAGAGCCACCCGTTGAAGAACTGCTGAAGGCTATATGCATTATCAGTCCAACTGTTCGCATGAGGGGACTAAGTATGAGGCCGCACTAGTCCAGATTCTGTTGGCAACGGCAGCAAGAGCTCTTCGCAGCCTTAGTCGCATCGGCCTTGGTCATGCCCTTGTAGTACCCGTTGTAAGCCCCGACGGTCAGGATGACGTTGTCGTCGTTGCCTTTCAACTGGTCGGAAAAGTACTTCGCGCCAGTCTTGATGTTGAAGTCCTATAGAACCTAATCAGCCGCCAGAACATCGGGGATTCCGTGGATAACATACAAGTTCTTGGCACGCCGACGGGCTACGTCCGCCGCACTTGTCCTTCGAGATCTGCATAATACCCTGTTCTCCACCGCCACCCACGGTCTTCGGGTTGCAGCTGCTCTCCTGCATGGCAAAGGAGGCGAGCAAGATGGGCGGGACTGTAGAACTTCATGAGCTAAATGATCGTAGAGAGTGTTTGGTTCCCAACGTACCGCCGAAAGCGTCGCCATATTTGTAGAACAGGCTGATCATCTCATCCGTACAAGGCTCGAACGCCTTGTTGCGCACTTCGTTGAGATCTTTCACGGTGAGGTCGTTGACTGTGACGTCAGGAGGGTTCCAGCCGCTGCCGTCAATACCACAGTTGAGATACTTCTGCGAGCCGTTGGGGCCGCCAGAAGCAGTGATATCTACATCGGGCGTTAGACTATTGGCGGTACAGATGAACATATGTGCGTACCGCCAGCGGCCTTGTTACCGCAAGAGCCTCCAGAAGACTTGTCAGAACCGCTGGAAGTCTCGGCATAGCTCGACGCCTTGGATGTCTCCTTCGGCTTGGAGGACGTGCTCGTTGCCTTATGAGATGAGCTCGTCGTGGTAGGGACCGCCTTCGCTTCCTTGTGTGCAGCCGATGAGGTCGCGACTGGGTGGGTAGCGCTGGAATGGACGCTGGTCGGGGTGTGGCGACGGTTGCACTTGCGCGACGAGCCGTCGGTCTCAGAAGACGACGCCGCACGGTGCGCAAGGTTGGCGTGGCGGTTTGCACGGACCATGCGGTGCGAGCCCGTGGCCTCAACAGCAGCAACGGTTGCGACAAGCGCGACAAAAGCAGAGAGCAGCTTCATGATCGAGAAGAAAAAAAGGGTCAAAGAATGGGAGGGGTGTAGAGATTGAGGGAAGCTGATCCAAGGTCACTCCGGGAAAAGCTTCAAGCCGGGAGACGGAGCAGTCAGAACGAGCAGCCGAGCAGATCGCGGGGGAGAACAAGCGACAGAGATGGCGGGTCTCAGGGTATAAAGCGGTACGTGCGCCGGGCTAGGGACGCCGCGTAGATGACCTTGTTGACAAGCGTGCCATCCCGCTAGCGAACGCTTGTCGTAAGCCGAGTGCCTCCTCGCTCCACACCTTCATACTCGGCATGCCAAAAGAACGCCCCAAAAACGTGATACGCAATATTGTCTCCGACGTAGAAATGATAAAGCACAGACCTATCCGTCGAGTGGTACACAATCTTCGATAGCGTTTGCTCTCAGATACGATCAAGCTCGAAGTCTACTGCTCTGAGGCACAGGGCGTGCGGAGAAGCATAAGCTGGTGCCGAACAGGACAACGCCAAGAGAAGGAAAAGATGGGATTAAGTCCTGATTAATCATGGGCTCGGATGGTGGTGTTCCGCTTGAGCAGGACCATGCGGGCGAGTCGCGTTGACGACGATCGGGCAATCGGACCGAAGGTAACTTGTCTCCTAACAGTGCCGCCGAACGACCTTCGAGTCCAGACATCCTGCGTGCGTTGTCCATGCGCAAGAGCATTGAGATCCCCAAGCGGTATCGGCGTCCAAGAGTGGCGCATATACTCTAACTGCTCATCCCCGCACTCCGATCGCGAAACCGCTCGCACGTGTGTAACCGGCGCCTTGACTTCAACCACCATCATCTGTTAGTAGGAGCATCGTGATACGGCTCAGTGCCTTGCCGCATCACACCCTACGCTATGTAGGATGAAAGTATAGTTAGACTCGTGAGCGGCTTTCTCATTGTCTTACAGGAATCATTCTTTCTGGTGCTCGAAATTCGAATGTCGGAAACAAGAGCTCCCCGAAAATATCGATGCTCTCCGCGAGGAGGTTGAAGATTTAGAACAAGCATACGATACGTATCGTACGTACTTGGAGAACCGCATCAACTCCCTTTATATCAAGCAAGCGCCGGTGCAAACCGCGACCGTGCAATCTCTTCCCGCCGAGATCTTCTTGTATATCTGCTCCTTCCTCGCCGACGTCGACCCCCTTGGCGAACTCTACGCCGAAATCGATTTGTCGAGCGATGGAAGTGATACATCAAGCTCCATCGCGTCCACTGACACCTATATGTCCAATGACAGCGACTATGTAGACTCAGAGACTGGCGATATCAACCTATCTCCTGGAATGGGTTGGTCGACTATCACGCACGTATGTCGGCGTTGGCGGGCACTGTCAATTCAGCATGCCAATCTTTGGACTACAATCCCGCTTCACCTTTGCACGCCATGGCTTCAGCAGATCATCGACCGTTCTGCCGGCCTTCCTCTAGACATCATTCTTCCGTGCGACACCGATCAAGATGTGGCTCGTCAAATCCTCGCTGGCAACATCCATCGCATACGCAGCATACACGCCGAGTGCGGCTTTCATATCATCGAGTCGCTCCTTTCGACCCATCGCGCACCTCTATTAGAACGACTCGAGGTTGACGGCGATTGGTTCCAGAATCCTTGGAACCTTCCCTCTGAGTTAATGAACACTTGTCCACTCCTCTCAGAGCTCAGCGTGGCCGCCATTACTCGAGTCCCCAAGTTACACCAAGGCGTGCTTCCCATCACTCGTCTCACCATCGCATCCACCTCCTTCGCTCCATCTCGAGAAGATCTCGCCGATCTCCTCCGATCGCTTGCTTCGGTGCGATTCCTACAACTAGAGGATTGCCTCACTGCTTCGAGCTTAGGAAATATACTACCTGACCCGCTTGATCTATCCCTATTGGAGACTCTGATTCTTCGGGGGCCAGCCAGCATGTGCGGCGATGTCTTACGATCTGTCACACTTCCGCCCTTCGCGCGCGTGGCATTATATCTGCTACCAGACCCGGTCGAGGTTGTGAACATGCATACATGCTATGACACCTCCAAATACATGGAATGCTCTGGCCTTAATTGGTTGTACGGCATGGTGGCAAATTCGGACTACCAATTCCTTCGAGTTTCCTCCCTCAAATCCGCCGAGCGAGTTCATATTAGGACGTATATCACCATCACGGCCGATCGTGATGGTCGTGGGAGCATCTCAGAGGGATATATGCACGACATACCGACTTTGGCATACGGATATCGCGGGCCCACGTGCGCGGATCTAAAAGTCGTCTGCATGTTTCAACCACCCTTCGGTCCCATACCCCAGGCAGGCCTTCCAGAAGGCGTACTCGGGCGTACAATGAAGCTGCTTTCTCTTGCATCCTTCGCGATACTCTCCCTCGATATCGACGCCCTCGCCAGTAGCATGGACAGTCCGCCGTGGAACTCCGCATCTTGGCTCTCCACCCTTGCGGGCGCAAACAGAGTTGGGTCTTTGGAGCTTATCTCGACTCTGGACGAGAGCTCTTTCCGTCACGGGGCTGCTGTAAGCAGTAGCTCTTATGCATCTCTATTGCTGGCGCTCGCATCGATGGATGATGATCAGGCGTATCATCTCATGCCGCACCTCCGCTTTCTCAGTCTCGTGGACGTCTATGCCGATGCGACGAGCGACGACATCAACGTAGAGCGGGCATTGAGGGAGTTGGTGAGGTCACGGCGTTGGAGGGCAGGAGATGTACAGGTGCACTATCCCACTACCATGTGGCAACATCAGTACCTTAGCAAGTATCAGGGCTCGCTCAAGCTCGCACAGACCATGGCTCTAGGCCTGGACCATGACTGGCAGCTAGAAGAGCTTAAAAAGGCAGTACTGAACTCGGATGAAGAATCTTCGGAGTATCGATCATATTTCCGAATGTAAGATGGCGACTACGCGCATACTACCTAGTTACAATTCTCATCAGTATGAATTAGAAGCCTCCTTATTATACTGTTTATACTTCATAAGGGAATGTGGGCTACCGTATGTTACAATCCTAGTGCTCCCTCGACCGATGTCGGCGTCTAAGATCATCCCATGTCGCGTGGCTGGCGTTCGGGTGCCCCTCCAAGTTGCTCCTAACCGCCACCACAACGCGGGTCATTTCAGCAACACTGCCTATAAAGCCCTCGTTTCAATGTGAACATCTTCTTGTTCCGCGTATGTCTGCGGCGCAACCGTCTTCAGAATGAATCTAAACTCACTTATTTCAGTTCGTTCTGGAAGTCAACGCGCTTCGAGCTCGAACATCGGTCTGCAACGATACTGGAGGACCCCGATGCGCTTTCAGCAGAGATGGAAGAATTAGATCACACATATAACGCTTGCCGCACATCTCTGCAAATACGCCTAGACGCGGTCCGTTCGAAACGGGCGCAGACTCGGACATGCTATGGCAGCGAGACGAATGGAGCGGTCCCTCGCTCGCAGACTTGAAAGTCATCTGCCTTATCCCGAGACTACCATCAGACCAGGATGGAATCACCACTCACGAGACTTTGAAGGCGTTGCCTTTGGCGTCGCTCGCAGTCCTCTCCCTTTCCATCGACTCCCTTCTTTTGCATTTCGAGCGCTGGGATCATGCCTCTTGGCTGTCTCTCCTCATTGATTGCAGCGCTGTCAAGCACCTCCAGCTGATCACGTCCTCGAGCTTAGCGACCCACACGTCATCAGGCAGCTATATCGAACTGCTCATCGCGCTTTCTCTGGCAAAGGACGATCGCGAGGTTCACCACCTTATGCCGGACCTGCACACGCTCAGTCTCGTCGATATTGATGCTGAGACATGGTTAGAGACCAAGTACAGCGACCAGGACCAAGAGTCCCTGGTGGTAACTGTCTCTGTGGCTTTGCATCTCGTTATTGCCTCACGCAGATGGGGAGAGGACGCCGTTCGTATAGATTATACTGGCGCGGCATGGCAGAGGCGTTACTTCAACGCTTTTCAGCCCCGTCTCGAGGCGGACTCCATCCGACTCGCGTCGGAAGAGAAGTGGCTTGCGCGGTTGGACGACAAGGTGGCCGGTCCAACTGGGGATAATCAGGAAGGCGCAGGAGAGTTGAGGCTGCTTGGCATATTTCACTAGGATTTTGAGCCCGTGCATGATAAGACCGAGCATGTACATCTTGGATATCTTGTACGGATACAGATTCGGATACTGCCAGAATGCTCATCATGCAGCCTGCACAAGAGCATATAGTTTAACCCTGAGAGACTTGGCCAGGGGCGGCGGAAGTACCGAATTTGAGTCAACAGCGCCCGCTCGCCAACCGATATTATCCATCGCCACAGGATCACAGTGATATCAAGCATCTGCGAAGCTATGACGCTGCAGAGTGATACGCGACGCACGGCAAACGCCTTGACTTGCGAGGTGCTTTGTTGACGTGGGTGTCGAATGCCGGACAATGTCAGGCGCGGGCATTGTCAGTCCGCGCGTCCGTCGCGGTACCGGCTCTAGGAACACGTTGTTACGTGAAAGCGGAGGGGCCGAGACGAGGGGTACAGCAACGCTTTCGAACCGCAGTTCCAGGAGGATTTCGCTGGCGAGCTGCTCGACTGTACGCTGTAGCGGCAGCCCAAGGAGAGAGCAAGGTGCGGCCATGATAATTCGGGGTGTTAAGTACGTTCACCGTCGCGGCACGGAAGCAAAACCACAGGGCCACAGGGGGCAAAGTGACAGGCGGCAAATTGCGGGATCAAAGCGCACGTGCTCTGTTGAACGCGGAAGGTTGCACGCGCCGCTCGCGCCGTCGCGTAAGTAGCCGCTCAGACCACACCCGCGATTATTATCCCGACTGTCACCACCCCCATCCTTTGTCTGCTCGATTCGCTTTTTGCCGCGACACACATCACTCTCGCACATATCTACAACTTATATAACCATCACAGCCGTAACTTATAACTCACTGGACGCACTCTCGAACTCGCATCGTCTGCTTTCTTGGACTGGGACTCGTGAAGGAGGATGCGCTCGTACAAGTCGCCGATGCTGACGCCGTCGCCGCTGCGACGCAAGGCGCTGAGGCCTGCGGACTCTGACACCTCTGTCGACGGCGAGCTGGGGCTCGAGACGCCGATCGACGCTGAGGATATATTCGGGGGCTCGCCGTACCGGCCGACTGCGCCGCTCCGGTCGTTCGACGCGCACCTGAGGAGCAGCGCGCGGTTTGGCGGGATGGAGGAGGACGAGGATGACGACGACGACGACGAGCGCGTCTTTCTCTCCACCCCGGCCAGACACTCGACGCCCGGCCGACCGAAGCGGACAAGCACCGCCCGTCTGCGCACTCCCGTCAATTCCAGCTCGCGCCCTCGCCCGCACTCGACTGTCGAGCCCACGCCACTGCCGGCCGCGTTTGCCTCGGCGCGCACACCGGCCCGGAGGACGCCGCTGCGGGTGAATACCCAGACGACGGGCGTCAAGCGCAAGTCGACGGAACTCAACTTTCTGCCTACGCCCCAGGCAAAGGGCGCGCTCACACCTCTGAGCGTTACCAAGCCCGGCGGAGAGAGCTCGTTCGACCGTCTGGCGCCGTTACCTTTGCCTGCGCCCAAGTTCAAGAGGCGAGATGAGCCCGAACTATTTCTCGGTCGGGCGAACACCATGGACAGTCTTCGCATCGGCAACGCTTCATTTGACGTCGACGACGAACCCATCGACGTCTCGCCTGATGGCCATATCGCCAAACGCCGCGCAAAGTCTCGACCGCTCTCGCAGGACTTGCCCGGTGGCACGGTGGTGCGTCATCTTTCCCATTGTTCGCTTAACTTAGAAACCGATTATCTAATTTACATCTGCAGGCGTTTCCCTCGGCCGCCGAAGCGCGTACACGAACGCTCTCGAACGAGTCATCGTCTTCAAAGTCGAATCATGGCACTGGAAGCGTCAGACCGACTCGCCAGCGCCTATCGCACGCGAGCAACGTCTCATCTCGGTCCCGCACCAAGAGCGGGGCGCAGGGACTTTCTCGCGCTCAAACGATCGCTGCTGCTACGCCTGGTCGGCCCATCGCCAGGCGCTTGGAGAGCAACGGGAGTGCGACGCTCTTCTTCGGTCCGGCCATCCCGCGTTCTTCTACGCCTGCGCGTCGGCGTCGGTCGCCAGTACCCCAGGATTCGGCCCAGCGCCAGTTCGCGCGCCACAGCTACGCGGGTCCCAGTGCGAGTCCCGTGCCCTTTGGGCCGGGACGCAGCAGCTCGCCTTCGTTACCTGACGACGAGCCTATGGGAGAGATCAGCGACGAAGATGCCGCTCGTTCGATGCCAGATGTGAGCATGATCGCCGACATGGACGAAGATGATAATCTGGCGGGTATGGACGAGGAGGACCTGTTCTTCGCATCTAGTAGCTTCAGAAGCAACGGGGACGAAGGGACTGGCGCCGACTCGAGCGCGGATGACAGCTTTGGCTGGGGATCGGCGCCTGCCCACGCGAGCACGTTCAGCATCAACGTCACGGCGTCTACGCCCAGTCCACGGAAACCTGTCAAGGCGATGTTGGAGAAGAAGTTCAAGCCGCGGGATTCGGGCATTGGACTTACGGACGACGAGGACGCAGCTCCCCGACTTGGGCTGCGCGCGCCTGTCATTCCCTCTGCGACGCGCGGCTTCGGCATCGGGCGGTCGGGGAGTGTGAGCATCATGGCGCCTCCGCCTATGGTACCCTCTTCGAGCGCAAGCACGACAGCTTCGTCCGACCTTGATGCGCTCGTAACGCCTGGTTTTGGACCGAGCGCCTCGTCTGGCTGGCCGTCATTCGCTTCATCTTCTACATCTACGTCTTCCGATCTGCTCAGCCTCTTGAGCGCGGACTCCGAGAACGCCATGGACACATTCATCGGGCGTACCCTTGCTTCAGCTCAAGCCCAAGTACCCTCCGCACCCGGCGCCGGCGAGCCCAAGCGTGCCGCACCCGGTACACCGCAGAAACGCGCCCGTGCGCAGGATCGCGCGTGGCACTCTGCGTTTGCTACCGGGAAGGTCGGATTCGACTACTCGCAGGACGACGTCGAAGGTGACGTGGAGGGCGACGAGGGAGGGAAGAAGAAGAAGAAGCCGAGGAAGAGTCTGCCTGCCGCGTTCCCGAGCCTCAGCATGGGCATGGGCAAAGCCAAGCCCAAGCTCACTTTACCTGGCGTGCGCAAGAACGCCAATGCTGGTGCACGCGTTGGAGAGAGCGATCTGGATAGCGATTCGGAGAGTCCGGGCAAGCGCGCGAGTGGGAAGTACGCTGGGATCGGGTTGGGTAGGCCGCAGAGACCCGGTGCAGCTTGGTTGCTCAGGAGGAGTAGCAGCGGTGCCATCTCAACTGCGTCTGGGGAGAGCAGCTGGCCGGCTACGCCTACGGCTGCTACAGCCGGCGGGAAAAGCGGTACGCATTTCATATTCTGAATCCTTCTATATCGCACGACGTGCTACTCCGATACTCTTCGTGCGGTCCCGAAGAGAAGACAGATGAAGCTGATACTATGGTCTTGTGTTCACAGGATGGCAGCTTCCGCCTCCACGGATTCCGCCTGCGAGCCCGGCTACTCAATCACGGTTGCCGTCGCGACTTTCGCCCGCGTCGACACGCACAGCAAGCAGCTCATCTACGTCCACTGCAACGGCTTCACCACTCGGCTCACGACTTCTGCAAATCAACCCGCACAATTCCGCACGCTTAGGAGCGTCACCGCTCAAGTCTTCTTCTTCCAACAACCAACGGACGGCGACTTTACCACCTCCGGTGACGGTCACAAAGACGAATGTGCGGAGAGGCGGACGACCTTCTCTGCCGGCTATGCCGCTCAGCAGCGACGCACGGCCTGGCAGGTTTGAGGCGGAGTTCGTTGAGGCGGGCGAAATCGGAAGCGGCGAATTCGGGAAGGTTATGCGGGTCAAGCTCAAGATTCCTTCGCCTTGCGCTGGCGACGAGGAGAGCGAATGGGCGGTCAAACGCAGCAAGCGGTTTGAAGGCGCACGTCATCGGTACGTTCCCTTTCGTTTGTTCATGTTCGACTTTGATTCGGGATGGTCGGCTGCTTGATTTGGGGGTTTGCACTTGAGATGGAAGCCGAGGGGATCTGCGTGCTGCATGCGGGCGGATACGTGCGCGGGATGGATGCGTGCTCGGCTTGGGGGCGCTGCGTGCATGATGGGATCTGTCAGGATCTGTCCAACATACTTCCTGGCCGCCCGCGGCAGATCTGTCGTCTCCTTTCGCGTCCGGGTGCAGAAGAGACAACACGTACTGACCAATATCTTTCATCAAATTCTTGTAGACTGCGCGTCCGCGAAGAAGTCGACGTCTTGCAGCATCTCCGACGCGCATATACCGGTCACGGGAAGTGGCACCCGAACGTCCTCGGGATCGTCGACGCGTGGGAGGAGGATGAGGCGCTGTTTATACGCACGGAGCTCTGCGCGTTGGGCTCCTTCTCAAGATTCTTGTGGGAGTTTGGACGCAGGTTCGAAAGGCTGGACGAGGGGCGGGTGTGGAAGATCGCCGCGGACTTGAGCTGCGTACGTCGTTTTCTCCCCTTCATACATCTCGTGTTCGCCACTTCTCGTGGTTGTTGCTTTCGTCATTTTCTCTGCTACGCACGTTCGGTAGCGAGCGAGCGCTGGAGAGGCTCCTCCGAGCGTCCCCTTGCCCTTTGTTCTGCATTTGCGGCATCAGTATGCATTTATCCTTTTTGGGTAACTCAGAGGCGGGTGGGGACACTGCCTCCCTCGCTCTCCCGCATTCGTCTCTGCGTTTCGTGTTGGTAGTACGCCGCCGGCTGATACCTCCCTCTTCTCTCCGACTGTAGGGCCTCGCCTTCGTCCACGCCTCCGGCGTTCTCCACCTCGACCTCAAGCCCGCAAACATCTTCCTCACGGCCGAGGGACGCTTCAAGCTCGGCGATTTCGGTATGGCGACGCTCTGGCCGCGAGCGGGAACTCCCGCGCCGCTTCCGGGAGAGGGTGCTGAGAGACCGCCTGGGTTCGAGCGCGAGGGCGATAAGTGTTATCTTGCGCCTGAGGTGCTGCAGGGGCGGTACGGGCCTGCCGCGGATATCTTCAGGTGAGCTTAGCTCCAGTCCACACACCCAGTGGCAGTGCGCTACGCATACGCTTGTCCTGTGTTGGGTTTAGGCGTTGCGGCTTGGAGCGGCTAGCTGACTTGTTATTTTTTGTAGCCTCGGCATCACCCTGCTCGAAACGGCGGCGAACATCGTCGTGCCTGACCAGTGCGTATTCCTTCAGTCACGCTGTAAGCTGCGGTTCATCGAATGCTGACTTTGGTTCTCTCCTTCCTTTTCGCTCCATCCTCATCTCATCATCTCATCTACGCGGTCTTTTGGTCCATATCGCAACTTCTCACGCACCACCCTATCGCGTGACACCCCGTGGACCTTGGTTGGTGTTTATGCCCGCGCCGATCGCACTCTCTGCGCCATCACCGGGCGCTTCTTTCCACCTGCCCCGCCTGCGCACGATTTCGGTATATTGTGTGTGTCGTTGCAGGGGCGAGCAGTGGCATCGGCTACGACAGGACGATCTGTCCGGCGTCGACTTGGCCGGGTCCAGCGCCGCGCTCGTCGGACTGCTCGGCGCTCTGCTGAGGGCCGATCCGTTCGCGCGGCCCGACGCGGCTGCAGTGTGCGCTCATCCAGCTGTGAGGAGGGCCAAGGCGGCGATGGAGCTCGCTGGGCCCGGAGCGGGGAGTCCGTTGGCGCCAGTGCCGCCTGGGTTCCTGACACATGTGCTCGGCGAGCTCGAGGAGGAGGGCGAAGAAGAGCCCATGATGCTGTGAAGGGATGAAAGGATGGTTGGGTGGCGAGGAGGAGCGCAATCTATCAGGGATGCTCGGCGTGCTCGGAGGCGGGGAGGGGCGCGCGATTTATGATTGGAATACGAGTTTGAGACGTATGGCCCTCTCGTCATTTTTTGCACTATTATCTTAGGCTTTTATGTGTTTCTCATTTTTTGCATCATGTTTACGACCCCAGGATTCCTCTCATCGAATGTAGTTATCTCTGTCTACCCTTGCTATGTTACGACGCTTGCTATGTTTTCATTTCTGTTTGTGGTCTGGTTGGGTACGGTCGTTAGGGCGAAAGAGAAAGAGGCGCGAGGGAGGCGTTTGGATCTAGCATCTGGGTATGTGTTGGATCGGGAGCAGCTGCTAGTAAGGGGCCGGGTCGAGGCAGGGGTGGGAGCAAAAAAAGACTGCCGGGACCCTGGCGCGAACTGGTGTGTGATCGCGGGGGCAAACAGATGTATATGAGGGGGGCGCGCTCTCGAACGCAAGCCCGAGCGGCGCCTTCTTCGTTTTCTTCGACTTCTATTTTTCCATCCACCCTTTGCGGCAGGCGCTACTGGCACGGTTCGAAAGCCTCTTAACCACATCACACGCACCGGGTGTTCGAATGCGCCCCTCACTCGCGGCCTACCACCACCCCATCCACCAGTCGCTCTATCCCCCGGCGGCACCCCCACCCTACGCTGGCAGCAGCAGCAAGATGTTTTACAGTTACGTGCCGAACGCGGTGAAGACGCGGAAGAGGACGAGCGCGCAGCAGCTGGCGATCCTCGAAGATGTGTTCGTGACGGACAAGAAGCCGAACGGGCCGAAGCGCAAGGAGCTGAGCGGGAAGCTGTCGATGACCCCGCGCGAGGTTCAGGTGCGAACACTTGCCCTATCCCCGATTCTATTTTGCATCTGACAGTTGGCTGCCTGCCCACAGGTTTGGTTCCAGAACAGGTGAACACTACGCGTCGCCATTCCCCCTGTCCTGTACGTGTATACTAACCATACATGCAGGCGAGCAAAGGAGAAGAAGCAGGCTGCGCAACGAGTCGGCCAGGAAGGCGAAGGTTCGTCGACCGCGCCGGCCGCGGGTGCAGACACCAGCGACGGGGACTCGCCAAGCGCCACCCCCACTGACCTCGAATGCGTGCCTCCGACGTCAGCGCCCCCAGCCTCCGCGCCGCCGGCCATCCCCCAGCCGCCGACGCTGCCGCCATCTCTCTCGCTCCCGTCCGGGCCGTTCCCGATGCGGATGAGCCCTCCGAGCGCTGCGAGCGCTGTGCACGACCAGCGGCGGTCGTCTCTGCCGGTCACGCACCTGCACTCTGGCCAGCCGGCGTTCCTGCCGCCCAGCGACCCCGCGCTGTACCGCCGGGCGTCGCACACCACGCTGCTGGACACCCACCCGTGCTCGCCGCTCGCCCGTCGCGCCTCCTTCGACCCCCGCGGCCCGGCTACCCGTCGCTTCGCACCCTACGGTCCTACACAGGTTCGCCCGTCGTTGACGCATCGGCCGTCCGCGCCGGAGATCTATCACCACAACCTGTCCTACCCTCCGTCCCATCAGTCCCAGCCGGAGTATGCCGCGCCGCAAATCCCCTCACCCGCCACGCCCTTCGAGGGCTGGACAAACTCGGACCCTTTCAACCAAGGTGCTGCCGCCGCCACCCAGGCGCCCTCCTTCGAGGGCTACGAGTTCCCGCCCAAGGGCCCCAACCAGGACCCGCGCAACAGCGTCAGCAGCCTCGCCAGCGTCCCCTTCAGCGACACCAGCACCGGCCCCAGCACTGGCGGGGCCTACTTCAGCGACGCCTCTGGTCCGCTCACCGCCTCGGACGACGGCGAGCGTAGGGGCAGCTGGGCAGTCCTTCCTCACCCGCCTATGCTTGATCGTCGTGCCTCGCTCGGCGACCCCGGCGCGGGCGGCTTGTACGGCCACGAGCTGCACGGTCATGGCAACGGTCGCGGGAGCGAGATCTCCAACACCAGCGGGAGCGGAAGCGAGAACGGCACCGTCTACCCGTCTCCGCCATCTGACCGCGCCCGTAGCGCCAGCCTCCCGCATACAGGCGGCCTGCCTCAGCCGCAACAGCAGCAGCGCCAGAGCCCGGTCTACTACGGTTTGCCCGGCGCGAACAACAGCAATGGCAGCGGCCAGTTCCTCCCGCTCAACCACTCGGTCGGCCCGAGCCCGCCGCAGGACTTCAACGGCTACAACCAGCAGCATCAGCCTCAGCAGGCGGACTTCACGTCGCCCCAGCAGCCGCCTCAGTTCTTCGCGCCGCCCTCGCATCCTCCGACCCAGCAGCAGCAGGGGTTCATCAGCCCTACAGTCGGGTACGACTCGCGGCGCCCCAGCTTTGATGCGAACGCGAGCGCGGCGTACGATCAGCGCCGTCCGAGCTACGATGCGAACAGCGTGCAGCCTAGCTTTGACCGGCGGCCTAGCTATGACGCCAACGCTCTTAGCGCCCAGCTTCCTGCGCCCGCATACGACCAGCGGCGCCCGAGCTACGACGGCAGCGTCGGCGTGAACGACATGTACGATCAGCGGCGGCCTAGCTTCGACGCTAACGGGCTCGGTGCGACGCAGGTGTACGACCAGCGTCGGCCGAGCATGCAGAGCTTCGACGGCTCGGGGTCGTACGAGCAGCTCCAGCAGCCGCCGTACCAGCAACCTCAGTACGATGCCGCTCACGGACATGCGGGTGGGCCGTACGATACGGCGCCGCAGGCGTTCGATGGGTATGGCGCGCCAAACGGGTACCAGTGAACGCCTCTGGTGCCCTCGCTCGTCGTCGTCGTCTCGTTGCTGATCATTCTGCTGTGTCCTCCGCTCGTCCATTCGCTGCTCGTTCTGCTTCGTGTCGTATACGCTAGTCCATCGCTACCTTGCTAATCTGTGCTCTCTGTTGCTCCATCTTCATCCCCATTGTGTCTCCCGTTCTCGTCTCTAGTTCTCGTATCATCTACCTCTCCCTCTCATTTCTCTGTCAATCTTACTCTAGTCACCCTTTCCCGGTCATATATCTATTCCCCTTCCATCTCAGTCTGATCTCTTTGGATTCATAGGATCTGTGTCTCTGATTCTTCCTGTGGTATATAACCACAAATACTACTACATTCTTTACACCTCAATCTGTGCTCATTCCAACTACCTGAATTCTCCTGCTTCATCTCTCCCTTTTTCCTTGTTCTCGGTCTGTTTGTACCACCAAATCTCGAACCTCGCACTCGCACCTTCACTCAGATGGTTGCATTGCTCGTACCTCGCTTCCTCGCCCGTTACCGCACATCTGCTGCTCACACCCGCCCGCTCACATCCGCTGCTGCCCTTACTCGCCCCGCTGCTTACTCGCCCATTCGAACACAACCCGCCGCTCCATCCCTCGAACCACAATCGCGCTCGCCCGCACCTGTTTGCCACTCATTCTGCACACTTATCCACCCGCCCTCCCTTGCCTCAACAGTCTTACTACTCCTCTTCTCTCGTTCTGCCCTTTCAGTCTGTTTATATCGTACTGTACGCGCCGCATACACCACACCCTACTACACCTCGCTTCACCCTCCCTCCCTCCATCGCGCGTCGCTTGCTCGACTCGGATCACTTTCTTCTTACTGTAGATCTCTCACACCGTTGGCATGTCTTTGTGCACACTGTTGTAATGCAACTTTTGCTTTCTAAACCCACCGGACGCACTTGTCGTCCTCGGGAGCGCCCAAGCGGCACGGTCTGGCCGCGGCCACCCAGGATAGGCCATCCTTTAGCTGTAAGCGTGTACAGTTCTCCCTTCCCGAAGCCTTCTCCGGTCTAGATGTGGTACGTTCTCTCCCCATTACCATCCCTTCCGAATGCGGTCTTTCTGAGCAGCACGTACGGTAGACGACGACCGCTCATCTTTGGGCTCCTTCGCCCGCTGGCTTCTCCCGCGATGTCGTCCGAGCGCAGCGGACAACGCTGCTCCTCCCGTTGATGATTCGGGTCTTTGACGTCTCACAGCCACGGCCGTCGATCCTTTCCTGCCATTCGCAGCCTTCGGCGTAGGGATCCGTCACACCAGTCCTGCCCCCTCCGAGCCCCGAGGTCACAGAATTACGACCCTGGCGAGCTTATCGACAATCTCATTTCCCGTTACCACGCCGCTAGCGCAACTGAGCGGACGGCGAACTCGCATTCGGCTTCGTCTTGGAATTAGGATGACGCCAGTCGGATTCTGACAGGGCGGCTCGCGGGTGGCACAGAACAGAGTGCCAGCTGCTGCAGGGTCATTGGGAGCTTTACCGGCGGCGCATCACGCTTTCGGGGGTGGCTTCTGTAGCTTTACGCCTCCCTTGTTCGTCGCCATCGCCTGTGGGGATGTTCAAAGTTGAACCAACGGACCAAAGGGCCTATCTCAAACATCGGCGGAGGTTCGCGCGCGATCTGCGCCTATTTTCCATCGCGTAACTATACGACGAGGACGCTCAATCGAGAGCGAGCGGAAACCACGAGCATGTGGTTGTGGTAGGGAGAATCGCAGAGCCTCGAGTCAGGGATCTTCATGCCTGAACAAGGCGATTGTATGTTATCCCCGTCCGCTCTCGCGAAACCCACCTCGAACGTCGAACAGCCCCGAGTCGGCCTTCTTTCCGCTCGAAGGGATTTGAGCGCGAGCCACAGGGGTGTCGATGGTCTGATTGCCGCGCTGCGAGCGCCACCGTATACTCTCCATCTCGCGCGTGTAAGAAGGCGCGTTCTCTGCATCTCGTAGATGCATCTACCGTCGCGCGTGCAGTGCGCATACATGAAGGCTTTGCGAGCGCATACAATGCGCATACACCCAGGCTCTTCGCCAGCAATGTATATGTCAGGCCACCGTGCGCCGTTCGCGCACCGCGTTGGTGTTATTGTGGGGTCACGCTGGGCAGCAACGAGGTCGACCCATCTTTCATATCTGCGCTCGTTTCACAGCAACAACATACACGCGCCGAGCCTTGCCCGACCGCGTATGTGTAATGTGCTTGCTGTTAGATGAAGTGTGTCCTTGTGCAACAGAACGCTTCTCGAGCTCTCGAGCGCGTGAACGCCTGCTCGATGCAAGCCTCTTTGTGATGTATCTGGGAGACGAGAATAGGCGAGCATCTGCTCGCAGGCTTCCATTGCACGTCACTGAAGGCAGTCTGTATTCAGTTATCGGAGCCTTGGGATCAGGCTTCCTATCCGAGATCACCGATTGGTCTATAGGGCCGTACCTTTTGTATCATATGTATCGCAACACGGAGTGCTTCAGACGTGTATCTCAGGCTTTTGATCGCCGTAGACTGTAACGTTAGCGTCCGCTGCGCGGCCGGGTGGTGCTACCGCGAGTATGCGCTACGGCGATTCCGAGGTCGCACTATAGCTGTGTTTGCATGTGCACGTAACATCACTGCAGTGTAAGCCTACTCACGTCGTTTCACGGACAGTTCTGCAACCGACGTTCCTGCGCATATGTTCTTCGTCGAGCACACGGGACTCACGAACATGAGCGCGCATGTATCCTTCTTTGGGTTGTTCGTGGCTCGACCTTCGCCGGCGCACAGGGCGTTCCGGAGTTGTGATGCGATGTTACTATATGCTTTACATTCAAACCTACAGATGATGCCGATAGGCACCGGGCGTAGGGGCTAGGCGAATGAGCGCAGTTCGTTGCCTAGGTGTAAATCACGTCTTGGAGGGTACGAGGCTCGAGTCCGTCGGACTCGATGAGAAATTCGATGACAAGTTACACGACGGGGCTCCAACTGCCGGTGATACACAAGGTACTCTGCTGTAAGTTGACGAGATTATTCCAACGCGCAGGCCATCTGGCAACGGGCAACCGATATACTCCTTCCGATGCAGACTCTACCGCCACCCAAAGGACTTCGCCGCCGCGCCGCATCGCCGCGGATCGACCCCGCTCGTCCGCCGTGGGCGCATGTACCCTCTTCGAGCACGGTTCAGTGCAATGGACGAGCTGCGGCGTACGGAGCGCCCGTATACGTCTCTCTTTGCCATGTCGGCGCCGCTGCCACCGCTGTAAATCCTCTTCTCCCGAGGCAGAAGATGAGATCTCCAGTGAGCAACCCGCTCTGCGCGGATCTGAGGTCGCAAGGACCGTGGAGGGCGTGAGTGCAGTGTTGCTTAGCGAAGCAGTTCTTCGAGGTCCAATCAGTGTCCCAATGCACGAACGAGCTACGTCGCGCTGTCTCGAAAGGAGCAAATGCGAAGGGATGACATTATATTGGGGATCCAGGCGCGAGCTATGAAGTGAGGTACAACCTCCGCTTACGCCAATCGTTGTATCAGTGGCGGTTCGTGGGCGCCCATCCTCGTCGGCGAGGGACCCGAGCGCCATCTTGGGGCGTTCGGGTGCGCTCTATGTGCGTACGATTAGGTAGCATCATCCCGAACCAATGTATTGCCACCTATACAGATGTCGCGCCCGTATTCCGTGCTGTGTCGGTACACCAGTCATTGAGTGACGGCGATTGAATGACTGCACTCACTGGCAGCCAATACGAGTGCTAGCAGAAGCCTACGGGCTGCGCTAGCCGGTTTGAAGGGTGGCGACGGAACTTGTACCTGGTGTGAAGGTCGACGCCCGCGTCCGGCTCGAGTGTCGGTGTGGGCATAGAGTTATCGATGAGGTGCAGAAGCAAGCAAGAGGCTATGATTGTGTTGGATATCGCCCGGATGGCGTAGTCTGGGATTGGGTGAGAACAAATAGACTTACATACCTTCAGAAGGTCGTGTATGACATGAGGCCTAGTCTTCAAGCTCAAACTTCAAGAGTTGTGTTCAGCCGTGGGCGCCCGTCCTAGCCTCGAATTAGTGTCGTGTTGACGCTTGCTGACGTTGATGTGCTAGCCCGTCATGATATTGCACGGAACCTGCGCCACAGCCCATGGTAGCGCCCGCCTAGTATATTTTCAGTTCCTGGGTTGACCTATCTGGATGTTGGCGGCGCAGTATATCACTGCAGGCTCGTGTTCGGGGATCTGCGTGAGTTCGAATGACAATACATGACAGCCGCTACAACAGCTCATCAAAGTCTAGCGCCGCAATCCAGATATACAGCAGACCACAGGACCAAGTGCATTGAGTCCAGGAGCTCGACGATAGCTCGATGCTCTAAGATGAAGCGGCGGCGCGATACCTGCCGGATCGTCGACAATGGTCAACGCGACTAGCACGCAGGTATGTCCTAAGAACATCCGAGTGCAGTGCTTGAAGCGTATCCGGATCTTGGCCTCATGCCTTCTATACAATGAGCGACGTAAACAAGACTGCTGCAGGACCATTGCACCATGACTTCTCGCACGCTGTACTCTGAGAAGCCATGACACGAGATAGAACTTAGCACGAAGCCGCGGAGCTGCCGATATCCGAGGGGCATGGCCCGCCCTCATGTGTGCGGGGCGTGATACTTGCCAAGCCTCGTCCAGCGCTCGCAGACCGGCGCCCAACACGCTCACGCAGGTCTACCATCGATTCTAGAGGTCTCTCCATCCATCGATCTCTCACACCAGGTTTGCCTGTAGACAGATTAGCACATGCACTGCGGGAAACCGAAAGGCGCGACGCAGCTCGGAGCAAAAGAAGCTGCCGGTCTCAAGCGCCCAGAAGAGAACGCACCAATCGTCTTCGCCAGCATCTCGAGCAGGTGCCGATGGTCGAAGGTTGGAGCGCTCACGCTGATGATCGTTCAAGGTTTGAAGGTTTGAACGCTGCGGGCGTTTGAAGGCCCGCTTGATCCTGTCAGCGCCTGTTGACCGGGCGCAGGTATCACGATATACAGGCGTCTGGCCTCTTGCCTGATGTATAGCGCTATAGGTCCCTGTCGCACATAAAGCTAAGGATACACGCGGTATAAGTTGTGCATGGATTCATTTCTCAGTGCGTCAACGACTCGCGGCACTCGGAGCGAGGAAAGGGCACGATGGTGGTCGAAAGCCGAGGTGGACGACTCGGGACGCGACGGCACCGTCGGCATATGCGGCCCGGTGGGGTCGCTTGTGGCACTTGCTAGTCGTGATACTCTTCGTGAGCATTGCATCGTTCCTTTGTGACTGCGACGCTGTCTCTGAGATACTAGTAAGGCGCCTTGTTGTCACCACGACGGAGAGCTCGACAGGGCGGTCAAGCACCTTGCCACGACACTCGCATCAGAAGACTTAGAATCTGTCAATAAGCACAGTGTATACATATAGCCAATGAAGTCATTATCATAGCTTAGAAGCATACGTATTATGAAGTAGTACATGCCACCAGCACTGAACGCCGATAATATCTTCATCTTCGACCAAGAGGATGGACCCTACTTCTAATCATCACGTGTTCCTTGAATCGCTCTTGCTCCCTACTTTTCTCGCAGACCATCGCCTGCAGCGGGCCGTTATCATCCCTTATAGTAGGCGTAAAGTAATGACTCTTCCATGATGCATCCGGATAGACAACCCGAAGGTTCCATTCATCGAAGTTGAGACGAGTCCTCATGAAGTACCGGAGCACCTTCTCGGCTGTGATCACTTCGTCACCGTCGTACCAGATTCTGCTGCTCGGGAGTGTCATCGTGGCCAATGAATCGATGTTGACGAGAGTCATCTTCTCAAGATCGGGTAGAATAGTGTGAGGGGGGTATCCGCATCTTGCCGACATGGTGAGCGCACACATTAGATCGACGAAAGGATTGGGTTTGTCGTGTTCGTTGACATCTTGCGCTCTCCAGGGTGGCGATATGAGTTGAAGGTGCTTGACCCCGTTTGCGCCTCGGAGAACCGAGACCCATCGTTCACGATTCCAAGGACGCTGATCGAGACGCACCAGACTATCCACGCACAAGGAGAGCGATGCGAGAGTAGGGAGCATGAGGTCAGCCATGATCTTCGCGAACACGGCATTTGCTAGCTCTTGCCCGGGTATGGTGCATATCATCTTCAGATCATGATTTGAGGGTCCAGTGTCGTTCGCCGGTCGGCGATGATTGTCGTGAATATAATCGCCAATATCGCAAGGAGCACGTTGACCGGCCACGACGAATTGCCATGTTTGCGGCCGGATTTCGAGGGTGGATATGTGTAACGAGTGTAGACCCGCTGGTCCAACGTTGTGAAGGAGCGTGCCAAGACCAGAAAGACGCATGTAATTATCGGCATCCGTTTCCAGTGATCCATCCTCCAAGGTGTACATTGTCGTGCTCGCGAACGAGGGGTATTCAAGCGAGTGCAGTAGAGCGCCGCACCCTCGTCTGGGGCCACGTATAATGAGCGTCCCAAGGTGGGAGAGAGCGATCGGTTGTCCGGAGACGGTCTTCGCCTTTGGTAGGCAGTTCTCGAGATGAAGGTACTGGATTCCGTCTAGTGAGCGGAGAAGGTCGTAGAACTGGCTCTTAGTCGGAACTTTTATGACAGACATGATGGTGAGATGGGTGATACGAGACGCTGCCAGTCCACGAAAGTTCGGCAAAGAAACGACATTCTGGAGGCTCAGTCGTTTGAGTCGTGGAAAAGATGTCGCCATGTTGTCAGGCAGAGCCATATGATTTGCGTTGTGTTCCATATGCAAGCTCTCCAATTGCGTGGCGGGGGACCGCGATAGAAAAGTGCCAACAATCTCTGCACCGCGCTCCAGTTCGATACTGCGTATACGGGGAAGGTGATTCGACAACACATCCTCGACGGCCTCCCAGTTTGCATCGCAAGGGATGATGATGTTCAAAGGCAGGTTCTTGGATCTCTCGATGATCTCCTCAACCCACGGCGTGGACAGGTTGAGGGGAAGGTCTGTCCACAACGTAGCGTTCCCAATTGCGATAGATCTCCATCGGGAGCATACATGACTGACACAAGACCAGCCCATCGCGGCTGCTAGACAGCAACTGCCATCTTCAAGGCAATATTGATGCTCGTAGTCTGTCGAGTCCACTGACTCCGTGTCAGAGTCCGAATCGTCGGAGTCGGAGTCAGAGGTTTCGGACTCCTGCTCTCCCAGTCTGCCGCGGCAGCTATAATTTTCTCCAATCGGTTCATCTTGAGAGAGGAAGTGGAAGATATGTAGAAGAATTTCCGCGGGTAAGGTCGTCGGAGAGGTGGTCCGACGGGGGTACGGTTTGTGGCGCAGGCTCTCGACGCGCTCGTTGAGTCCCATACAGCAGCGCTGATACGCGCGAGATAGTCCTTGAAGCTCAGAAGAGAGCAGCTCAATGTCATCGGGGAGTGTTTGTAGTCTCTCCAGGAATACGCCTTCCCAGTAGAGTTGACTGTGGGATGAGGTGTTAGTCCAGGCGGTTCTTTGAAAGAGCAAGTTGCATATGCCTAAAGCTTGACGTACCTGGTATCAGACGCCATTTCTGGTATGAGTGCGTTTGGAGAGAGTCCTTATATGCAGGCAGAGTTGGGTTGTGATGTCGGTGGTGGTGGTGGTGGAGGGTCGAGACGTCAAGGACGTTCGCGCAGACGCGCCACACGGCTCTGGTTCGGCCCGGGCGACCGCGACGTTCCCAACCACAGCTAGCACGTCTTTGGACCGGAAACCTATACTTACGCAATACACGGTGTGGTTGACCTTGGGTGGAATGATTGGACTCCGCTACACCTTCCAGGCGTCTCCACTCGTAATGTTCTGCCTTGATCTAGATGTTTAGGCGCGCCCACCAACCCACGGCGGCACCACTAATATGGTATGTACACCCCGCACCAAGCCAGGGACAGACGGGGAAGAATGAGGATAGAGAAACAAGAGTATTGAGTGCGACGGGGAGAATCGAGGCGGGCCCAGCGACAAGGTATAAGCTGCACACTCGACTGAACGCTCCAAATGCGATGAGCCTAGACTAGAGACTGTAATTGATACGTAAACACGGCAGACCAAGAGATGCGACAGAGTGAGCCAAGGGGAGAGGGATGACGGGGACGGGGACGGCGTGGAGAATAAGGTGAGGATTGTAAGGGTAAGGCGTAGGGCAAGGTCCGCGAGAGTACCAAGTGAACCATGAACCAACAAAGCCAGGCCGTACGGTAGGAGAAGAAAGAAGACGAAGTGGGTCAGGGGACCGAGATAGCACCATCTCAAGGAAAGAGAGCCCGGGGCCGTGAAGGGGAAGACTGTGGCCGTCGGGGGAGGAGCTCACCCTCCCAGCGCGAGCGATGGATAATCAAGAACAGCGAACAGCGACTAGCACTCGCCCAAATACTTGTTCTTCGGGTACGTCTCGCCGATGTCAGACCATAGGGTCGTGTTCGGGTTCATGTACGCTTCCAAGTACGTGTTGATGTAGTCCGCTATCATGCATCGTCAACACCGACATCACGGACAGAGGCAAGATAACATACCAGTCGGGAAATCCTTCGGGTCGCATCCCCAGTTGACACGGTCCGGATCCTGGTATACCCGGATGTAGTCGACGTACATATGTGCGGGGTAGGTGAGCTGGTCGTACTCCGGCACAACGAACCCAGGCGACATGCCCAAGTTCGTGATCATGTACATGGGCTCCTGCGGAACCGGCCTTGGCGAGATGAGCGACTTCGGGTCCGCCGCAAGACCGCCCGAGTTGATCGTCCATGATGGCTTGCCGTTGTTGAGCCAGGTGATGTAGGCATCGTCGAAGCCGGGGTAATACTCGACACCGAAGACGACCGGGATCTTATCCGTGAGCTCGTACCCGGACGTGTTCGTCATGCTCAGACCGGAGATCGCCTGCTGGTACGCGCCTCCAAAGTAGGTGTTCTGGCTCGTGACATCGTCGTCGTAGATCACCATGTTGTTGTTCTCCGTCGGCCACTTGTACGCCCAGTTGAACGGCGCCATCTGCAGCGTCTGCGACACGTTACCGTTTCCGGCCGTCGTCGCGAGCGCCTCGAACATGTCGATCTCAGGGGCGCCACGCCCGACGTATGTGTTGTCGCTGTGCATCGGACCAGGGTGATTCTCTCCGGCGCAGGTGCAGCGCGAGAGGCGCTGGCCAGGCAACCACGACAAGTCATTGTCGTGGTACTTGTCTCCAGCGTCATCCTCAAAGTTGGCGGTGGGCTGGCCGTTCAGCGACTGGTTCTTGATCGCGCCGTAGTCGCACGAGTCGTAACTGTATGGCCACAAGCCGTCCGTCGTTGCACCGTAACCGACACGCCCAAGGTTACCCATCATCCAGACAGCGGGCCAGAAACCGAGAATCTCGGGCGAGCCAGGTAGGACAACAGCGGCCTCGATGTAACCCCCTGTGAAGCACATTTGGTTCCATGAAGTCATCATACCGCCCTGGTACGAGACGTTGTGCGTTTGCTTCTCAGTGAACGTAATCTGCAGCATGCCGTCCTTGGTCGTGATAGCGCTAGGGTCATACCACTGTAGAGAAATACGTCATTCATGCATCTTGACGCGAACAATTGAGCTCTCGACGAACCTCGAGATCTTCCGTTTGCCAGTAGTAAATGTCAAGAGCGGTGAAGTACGGGTCATCGCCGGGGTAGAACGTCCTGCCGTCGACGTTGAATTCGTCGGACCATATGAGCTCCAACGTCTTGCTTGTGTCGTTGTACATCGTCATAGTCTTGGCCTCCGGCGGTGTATCAGGGTCGATCATGCCGCGCAAGCCGGGAATCCTGGGATATTCTCCCGAGGCGTTCACGCCGCCTGGGAAGTATCAGTCAGTCGACTGCGGCCTAAGAACAGAACAAGGAGCGAGTACACACCGAGTCCCAGTGCGACTTTACTACTGCTGACATCCGCCTTCTTCGTGAAATGGGAGATCATTGGATACGCTCCGCTGGAGTTGCATGATGAGATCAGTGAAAGGCGGTTACGGCCAAGCGGGCGCGGCGACGCACAAGAGAGTAATGATCCCGAGGGCGAGGATAGCGAGGCATCCCAAGTTTGCAAAACCGCGGGCAGTGAAGAACGTGCCGCCGTTGTCGTTGTGCTTGTCTCGGCGCGGGTCGGGGTTGTGCAGGTAGTCGTCCGGTTCTTGTACGCTCTGGTCGGGGAACACAGAGCCGTCCAGCAGTGAGAACTGCGCACCCAGTCAAGCACTATATCAGGTATTCATACATGAAGAGCTACATACCTTGTCTGCTACTGAACTGTGCTTGTTGCTTCCTCCAAGTACCTGTGTTGCTCGAATGTGAAACTCTATTCCAATCTAGCCGAGATAAAGTTCGACATACGGATGGCGGTAGTTGCGAGTTGAGGCTGCTGCTGGATGACGGGCGGCGTAGATATGCGGGATGCGGCTGGTTAGAGTGGCCGGAGGCGGGCGAGAGCAGATTCGAGGCGGATGACGGCGGGTCGTCCTGCGAGTAGACCGCGGGCCGTCGCAGCGTTTGCGACATGTTTTCCTCCGAAAGACAAGAGAAAGAAGAGAAAGATAAAAAAGAGTGTGAAGAGGAGGGTGCCGGCGTCAAGCTCGGGGTCTGGCTCTGGCGTTTGCAGGACTCGCGGTCGTCGACGGGTGGGTGAGAGAGGGAACAACACCCGTCCGGCAAGTCACACCAATAACGCAACAACCAGGTACACACAACCTGCACCCAATCCCCGCTCTCCCCATCACTTCCTTCAGCAAGTGGTAAAGATGGTGCATTCCCATGCTCTTCTAGGTTACTAGGCTGCTATATACTATATATCCCTTGGCTTTCACGCAGGACAGAAAATAATCGTAAGGTAGTAGTAGAGTGACACCGCCCGAAAGTCTGCCTGAAGGAGAAGAAAGTCTCTTCGACGCCATCAATCGCCCAGCACATCAAAACTGCCCAAGCCCAGAACGCGCAACGAGCTGGACGCGTCTGCTCACGGCATCGCCCTCCTCGCTGGCTGTCGCAGTCGCCTGGCGCAACCACCAGTCGAGCCTCTTGCGCGCCTCCTCAGACTTGAGACCGACGTTGGGACTGTAAGAAAGCGCAAGATCAGCGATGTTGAACAATGAACGGCTGATGACGCCCAGCCGGAATTAGACTATGCACGCACATGCCACGCTCCTCCAGCGCCTCTCCCAGCTCCACCAGATTTAACCGCGAGCCGAAGCCTTCTGCCGCTAGACGCGTGTCATCCTCGGCAACCCACTTGAGGTGCTTCTCTATCCTCTTCAAGCGCGTAGGCGGCGGGCCGAACGTAGAGAGTGAAAGCACGCTCAGAATTGCGACGAGCTCAAGGCTGTCGTTCTGGGTCAAAGTCGGGTTAGGACGCTCGAGTAGTTTGCGCAAGTCAGAGCGCATTGCGAGTGCGGCTGCGGCTTGTTTCTCCCGGCGCTTCGTCTCGATGCGTTCGCGCTGTGATGGCAAGACACATGTTGAGGGCAGCATCCAAGGCGCGTAGAGCACGATGAGCGGGATGATCTCCTCAATGACGAGTACAATCAAGATGAACGGTATGACCCTAGATAGATGGGTATCAGTTCTCGGTTATAAGTAGAACTATGCATAATGCAACCTACTTGATCACATCGGTTCGCGTGCGTTCGATGAACCGTGCCTCCCATCGTGTCAATGGTTCGCCACCAGACTTGACACGCGCTTGGATATCATTTGAAGCCTTCCGGTTCGTGAATACGAGTTTCATGCCGCGCATATAGAATTTCTATAGTAGCATGTTAGCCTTCACCACACTTCACAAGCTTCCATAGTGAAGTCGGTGGTCCAAGACTTACAAATAGCTCCTTGGCCTGATGCCACAATTTCTTCACCCGTCCCGCATCCGCAGGTGGCGGTACAAGAACTCCGTGTGCTTGCGCAACCTCCAAGTCTCTCCTGGTAGTAGCCAGCAAGCTCTCCTTCCCCTGCGAAGCCGCCTCCTCCTTCACTTCCACATCCTTCGCTACAACAGGCGCAGGTGGCGGCTTTGTTGGCGCGGGTCGAATGGGTGCAGGATGTAATGCGACTTTGGGTTTGCGTGGTGCAGTGGGTGGTGGGAGAGCACCGTTGTCCTTCGCGCGTTTCTCAACGTCAGACGCGTGCGGGCCGTCAGAGAGCCAGCGGGCGCTAGTATTCAATGCGTATAGCCCCTGCCATTGCCTACAATGCGGACCAAGACCGAGCGTAGTAGTACGTGCGAAAGATCTACAAGTACAGAATATCAACATTCGGCTCCGCTATATTTCATTCACGCGTCACTCGCACCTCTGCGCTAGACCATGCCCGTGGCGCGCGAATGGCCGAATCATGCAGGACGGCCCCCGGTGGGCTGCGTTTAGACGAGAAGGTAGAGAAGGGAAGACAGAGAGAAGGTCGGAGCAGAGACGTTGGACAGTGGTGGTGCGAGTGTGAGCCTGGGATTATTCGAGCGAAAGTATTGGCTCTGGCACGGGAAGGTGACTTGCGGCTCACGCGCACGCCGACGCGCCGCGCGTGCGCCCGCTATCCCGCCCGCCGAACGTACACAATCCATCTCGGCCGCCTACAGCGTGCCACACCGCTCTCCGCTTCCCATACGTCTAGCTCAAAACCATGACCAGGTACACACACTCTGATCAGGCGGACAACAGCACACGTCAAAGATAATCGATGAGGTCGATGAGGCTGCGTCACAAACACGCCTCTGCGTCGTGTTGGCCAGTACAGCAGAAGTCTTGGGATGCGTATGACGGCGCGCAGCGATCGTACCCCCCAGGGCAAGCGCCCCATTCAATCTCCCACCTCTTCGTATTACAAGCACGGGCCCACGAGGCTGTACACACAGTACGTACTGCGGAAGAGACGGAACTCGGCGCCGTACATTATATGAAAGGGTTCGTAGAAATCTCGAATGAGCATTGACATTATGGTGCAATTTTTGGGGGTCGTAACCGCCGGCGGGCGGTTCGTGGGTCGGGGACGTGGGTGCGGGTGGTAGAGTAGGATTCGTATCGGTGTCGCGTACGGAGCGTGTGGAGGGCTATGGCGGAGTATAGTATTATAATCCAATCCAGGAATCCGAGTCGTGATGATGATCGTAACTGCGTCGAGAGGGAGGTCGTATAGAGCGTGAAGCGAAGAGGCGGACAAAAACTGCGAGAAGGATGATATGCACAGGATGGAGAGATGCGAGAGGAGACGAAGCGTAGTAGAGATGGGAAAATATAGAGACGTGGAAATTATAATGATACGGATGGATGAAGGCAGGCCAGGGCAAGAGGCGGTCTATGAACAATGATGGTCCGTGCATATCATCGAGGCAACGGTCTGAGAAACGATTATACTGGGAAGCGGTGCAGTTATGCAATGCTGTTTCGCCGCGGACGCCGACTGTGGCGGCCATTGTCGCGAGACGTGCGACCACTGTGGCGTCCGTCTCGGCTTTGCGAGCGGTGGTGATGGTGATGGTGTGCCTGTGTAGCGGAGCGGCGGGGCGCGATGTTTTCTGGCTGCGTAGACGCGGCACGGGAAGCCGGTCTCCACATTGTGAAGAGGCGCTTGAGCAAGGGCGGTTGGCGCGGCGCGGGCGTGGCGGCTACGGGCGCAGCTGGCATGTATGGATACTGTAGACAGAGGAATGAAAGATCGTCGGTCAGTCACGGGCGTCGGCTCGGCGAGGAATGTGGGTTTCCACGCACCTGGACCTGCATCTCATATTTCGCGCCCGGCTGGGGATTCAGTACGACAGGCCTGTGAGGGTCATACGTAATGATATGTGTGTTGTTGCCCGCGTTGCCGTATCCCGGGACGGTGTGCTGCCGCCTCGGTTGAGGCGCCACCACCCCGCCGGTCTGATAGACTTGGTTGGGTATGACGGCCCCTTGTTGGGGTTGCACCGTGTACGAATACGTGCGTGAACGTGTCGGGGGCGGCCGGGCGTTTGAGTTGGCGCGCTGCCTCGAGGGGGGCCGCGGAACGCTGCTCGGATCAATACCCCGCGAGCGGTCGCGGGTGTGGCGGGCGCTACCGTCCATGCTTGTTCGCGGACGCGAGGTCGGCTGTGAGGACGGCTGGGAGCGCGAGTTGTACGACGTCGGGGAGGATGTGTAAGAGTATTTGGTCTGAGACAGCGTCGGGCTCGTTGCCTGGCTAGTCTGTTGGGCCCAGGAGGCGACACCGCGCATCTTGCGCATGTGGGCGTCGTAGGCCTCAGGCGAAAAGTCGTACTCAGTCATTGTGCGTGGAGTGTGGTGGAGGAGCTAGTAGGGCTGAGAGGGCGTGAGTTGCGGTGGTACACTCGAGAGATGAGAGTGAGAGGTACGAACACGGGGTACGGAGGTTCTTATGTACGTGCGCGTAATGATCTCGAGGCGCCGAAATGGACAGAGATGAGATGGTCGATAACAGACAGCGAAGCGCGGAGCCAGAGGACAATAGGCACCAAGAGGCGTGTGCAAGAAGGTCTAGAGTGCCAAACTGTACTGTGAGAGCCGACGGCCACCGATCTGGTGTAGTTCCAAGTGGCGGAGCACCAGTACCACCAGGATTTTGAGGGGCAGTCCGAAACTTCCCAGTCGAAGGTCGACTTCCCGTTTACGCAGGCTCGGAGGGTGAGACTTCGATTACGGACCAGCGGTCGTCTACGGGCGCTTATTATAGGAGGGCTCCGGTAGAACAAGCCAAACACAGAAAAGGGCGGACACGGGAGGGTATAGGTGGGGTCGTGCTGGCGCACTGCAGGCCTGTGCTTTATATGTGGACGTCGAGGGCAACCTTGTTTGACCCGTCGCTGGCGCGGATGCAAAATTCGTGGTTTTGATCGTTCCTCCCCCGCTGCGGCTACACCTTGTTCTCTCACCATCACCATCCTTACCGAGCCCCTTGATGTACAATATCCAGTTGTGCTTCCACGTCGCTTGTTGCTAGCTTGCAACCAGCCGTGCTTTGTTCTGTATCGTTATGCTTTGTTCCTGCGCGTGAGGTCATCGATGCGTCTAAGCCCGAGAGCCGAGCATTACAACGCGGGCCTCCTGGATTAACTCCACGTCTCCCTCGTTCACAATGCCAGCTATGAAAGTCTAGATGGTCGTATGATGATTGTCCCGGCGATGAATACTCTGGGGCTGAGGCTGAGCGCTGAGCGCTCGGAACACTAGATGGGCCACAGCTACGCCGGGCCACAGTCCGATCACGTCTCTAGCGCTGACTATCCCAGAGGCGTTAAAGCTATACCGCCTTCAGTCAAAACGTCCGCGTATATTCCCAAAGCTCATGACTGCCTGACCTCAGCATGACAGAACTCCGAGTCTACTGAAGTCTCGACATTCCGTCAGCTCGTCAGGCGGAGAGCGCACACGACGTCGCTGGAGTTTGCCATGCCGCTCACGCATGGCTACGGTGTGTACAGTCCACCCTGTGCACGCGTCACGCCTACGCATACAGTTCTAGCCCCATCTCTATCTGACGGTCCAGCCACGGTCTGTGCGAACCCGAGAGATAGTTGGATGCGCTCGAAGCCCGCAGAGATGGGACACGTTCTGCGGCAGATCGACGATGCGTTGGACTTGATACATCCGTGTCATCATTGCTACTACAGCGCCTCGAGGCTCCCATTCCTTCCATATTTAGACCCGCCATTGTACTCGCAGGCGATGCTATGCTCCTCCCTAACAACTGTGCTGTCACCCTCGCAACACTCCACGGCGTCAAACCAACGCTGCGAACAAGGGTCATGGGGAGAGTGTCAAACGCTTGCGCATTATGTATCACACAAGAGGTAACGCTTTGTCCGTCAGCAGTTTGTAACACGTTCTCATACCCGAATCAAGGAGTGATCTCCCAGCCCTTGCGATAGAGATCCCTCATCGAACTATCGCCCATCGGGCGCCACGGAGATGTTCGGAGACACAGCTGTTCCATTAGAGTTCCCAACCACTAATACACGTAGTGTAAGCTGCTATGCATGCACTGTCAACTACAGCACTATATCTGATACGAGTAAGCTGTGTCTATGTAAGTCATCTCCTGCAAGACCGAGTCTTCTAATGAAAAGGTTCACAGGAATATGAAGACTACACCGGTGATGACGCCGGGATTACTTCGCCCCGTAAACCCTCGAGTTGCACTCCCCGCCGGAACAACGCCAGACTGCATGCAAGCAGCTCGTCGTGCGCCACCGCGCTTCCCAGGTCGTTCATAAACCTCACAACCTTCACAACGTCTGGCAGCGCATCTGCATTCGCCGCAACTCCCCGCACGAACGCGCCCAGGTCTCGACCGTCAGAACCACGGAAATGCACCACTCGAACGCCGAAGCGAGTGGTGGTTTTCGGAATTCTCGTAAAGAGCCCACGCAAGTCCTTGGACGATGCTGAGAAGCTTGCAGGGACGACGACGATAAGATGCTGCAAGCGCGGGCATTGTTTGAGCGCGACGAGTACGTGCTCGGCGCTGCGGTGATAGCCGCTCACGTTTATGGTTGCGGTTGTGAGCGTCTGTGCGTGTGAGGCAAGGAAGGCCGTCTGACAGGCAAGATCGGGGATGCGGTTGTATACGAGGAAGGCATGCTCGAGCGCCGGGTAGAGAGTTTGCGGTGTGGCGTGTGACTCGTCGTGTTCGGCAAGTGCGACAAAACGAAGAGTCGGTTGTGGCGGTGACACGAAGGTGCAGGCTCCCCCTTCCATTTTCCAAGGACCTATGCAAAGTACGCGCAATTGAGTGCATCGCTCAAGCAAAGCCGTGTAGTCTGCGCCCTTGCACGTGAGGCTCGGCCAGCTCGGCCATATCAATACGCGTAGTGTTTTTCCGGCCGTATCTGCCAGCGCACGCAATAACTCCGAAGGTACTGCGCGATTGATATATTCAAGTGGGCATATATTCAGGACTTCGAGTCCTGTGAGGACAGATAGCAAGAAGCGCAATTCATTGAAGTCCAGCGCGCCTGTGATGGAAAGGACATCGAGCCTTCGCACATATTTCCCATATGCCCGTGCAGCAAGCGTCTCTGCTAGTCGGGGGAGATCTTCGGTGCGGTGGATGTAGAGCGTGCGGTATAGAAGTGGCGTTCCGAGGGATTGCCAGGCTCGACAGACGCGTACAAGCTTGGCGCGTGCCGAAAGCATCGATGCGAAGTCTGTGCTGAATGAGCGCGGGTTCATGGTCATCGTTGCGATGTCCGATGTGGCATCAAGGAAGGGATCGTGTGCGTGGCTGAGCTCATGTGGGACTGGGTTCGCGTACTCGAAGATGTACGGCCAGAGCTCGAGAGGGAGGAGGTGAGAGCCATCGGGAGAAGAGTCGGTGTTCATACACAAGGCGTATGAACAGAGCTGGACGGTTATACGTTCAGGCTCTTCAAAGGTTGCAGAGATGAAGGCTTAAGACAAGCGTGTATTATCAACGCGACGCGTCTCATCACGAAATAGGGGCACCGGCAGGCGCCGCCTTGGCAATCTCCGACCGAACCGCCGATAACACTGTGGCTCTGAGCGCCTACAGGTTCCTTCTCGACCACCACCACTATCGTCACTGCCATGTCATTCGTACGATACATCGACGATAACCCAGACGCGTTGCAGGAGCAGACGCTGCAAACCTTGTATCCCGGAACGACCACCGGGAAGTCTCTGACTTCCGTTGTACCACCCCAAAACGCGATCGCTTTTGTGAGGAAGCTCGCGAGCGGCGCGAAGGCCGTGGCGAACGCGAGTGCATGCGGAAGTGTTCTCGCGGGTCAGACGAGCGAATCGGATGAGCATGAGGATGTTGGTGTCTGGCTCGCGCCGGGCGAGTACGGTGCCGGTCATGAGCGAGACGCGATTGAGGCGCTCGGCTTCAAGATCTGGCGCAATAAAAAGGTACGCGCGTTCCAATTGTCAGATCAAATGTAGAGGTCCATTATGACTCATTATACGCCAGGTCTCCCCGTTGAAGTTGGACGCTACGACGCACCTGCCAGAAACGTTCAGGCCAGCAGGTGCCACTGATGATCAGGCTGCATTCAGTGCATTGCTCGCCGAGCTACGCGACTTGACGTTCTTCGCCGTAGAGGGTGGTCCCGGAAGCTCGACTGCGTACGTCTTGCTGGGGCGTATGGATAATGATGACGGGTGGGCTGGGCTAATCGGTGTCGGGATTTCATCGTGAAGCTATGCTGGCGAGGGTTTCTGCTCTATTTCCTAGACCTCGGTGTCATTTGCTACTTTCAGGATACATTGGGACATATCGTGTGCGGAATTGCCATTCTTTTACCTATACTAATCGAAATACCTGTCAACTGACTGGTGCACGCAATCTAGTGCATATATGACCTCCGGCACTCACGTTTGCATGTTGTACAGCCCGACCGACACCTGGATTCGGAATACTATCTTAGCCAAAGTGATAGGAAGAGTGGAGCGCAACGACCTTCGTGATCACTCTATACTGACGATGCATTGAGGGCTTATGATCTCGGCCTGCTCTTTGAGCTAGCGTAACGGTAGTGTGAACGACGGAATGTTGCACGTGGGGCGGCGCATCCGAGGGCTCGTCCGTCGGGGACAGATCCGAGGTCGGACCCGAACGCGCCAGGACGCGCTTGCCTCAAACTGCCACCTTTCGTTACACGCGCGATCACTCTATCCTGCCTCTCAGAAGTCTCGAGTGGAGGCTCTAGGAGGTGATTACATCTGTCCTATGTTGACTAGGTGCGTTATAAGAAGCGGTTTCAACGATCAATGAGCGCTCGACTCATGCTCATATCGCAGTTCTACTGTATGGAGCGACATCTTCCAAGAGCGGCTCGACGCGCTTCCTTTCGACACCGAAACGCTTCGGTCTGAGCTGCGGGAAATCACTTGCGCATATGCGGACTACTGTGTGGCACTCAACGCGCGCGTGGAAAACCTGCGCCGCCCAAAACTTCATCCCTCTCGAACCCCCTCAGCCTCGTCATTACCCGCAGAGATACTACTCCTTATATTCTCTACTATCTCAGAAGACGAGCCGATGGGCGATCTATGCGAGTACAGGGGCATTCGAATCGAGGACTCGGATTCGGATGTCGACAGTGACGAGGAAGGGGACGACTCGGACCATATCACGCCTTCATGCCCTTATCAATGTGATTGTTGGCTACACCATAGTCTTCAATGGGCACGCATTACCCACGTCTGCGCGCACTGGCGACGCATCGCAATCGACAATCCCACCCTTTGGACAAATATCACGCTCAATCTTTCCACGCCGTGGCTTCATGCGCTCGTCTCGCGTTCAAGGAACCTTCCTCTCGACATCACTATACCTTGCGATGCCAATTGGGATGCCGTCGAACCGATACTCTCCGAATGCATCCATCGGGCGCGTAGCATCTCCGCGGAGCGCGGCTCAGACATCATCAACACTATCCTACAGCGCTATAGGGCTCCGCTCTTAGAGATACTGGATATCGATCAGAGCATCGCCAACTCCGATCCTTTCATCATGCCTCCAGACATGAACGCCTTTCTACCGCAACTCCGTCGTCTTCATTGCCCTGTCGTCACCTTCCCTCCGGAAGTGCAATATTCACCGTCGTTACGACTAACTCATCTTACCGTGCTTTCGTCCAATGACGCTCTTTCGGTGCCAGAACTTCGCGGTCTCCTCCATGCACTCCCGCTCATACAAGTTCTACAACTCGAGAATTGCCTACCAAGGAGCGCTGAAGACATCTCCCCGCAAACGATCTGCCTTGCACATCTGAAAACACTCATTCTACGAGGTCTGACGAGCTCGTGCGGTGCCATCATGCGCGCCATCGCATATTCCTCGTCTACAAATGTGACACTATACATGCTCCCCGACGAAGAGCATGTGCTGCAAGGCGCTGAGTTCATGCAACGCTCGGGAATTGGGACACTTCTCCAGACCGCCTGCGCAACTCCCTTTCATTCTCTCCACATATCCTGCGTGGAGTCCAGACCAAATAACTGGCAGTTTGTGGTAGCGGGACTACGCAACCCTTGCCACATTGATCGATACGTTCGCGACGACACGCGTTTCGAGCCGCACTGGACAGGGCCTTCCTACGAGGATATGAAGGTTGTTTGTATGTTACCCGCTATATCTATCGACGGGAATGACTCCTCACATATCCTCGCACTGAGCCTCTTCACGCTCCTCATAACAACTCTACCGCTCGCAACCCTCAACATGCTCTCTCTCAAAGTCGACACCCTTCTCACCCTAGACACAGAGCCATGGAATTGTGCACGGTGGCTATCACTCCTCAAAGAAGCAGAAAAGCTCGAGCACATCCAGCTCATTGCTCGACCATGGGAGCTGCATAATCCCAGTAAACATGCGCAGCCGTGCCTATACGCCGATCTTCTCCTTGCGCTTTCGTTGGGACCACACGTATCCCGAAAGTGCCTGCTTTCACCTGAGCTCTCAGAGCTGAGCCTCATCAACATCGACGCCTCATCTACGGTCGTCATCAAAGCCGGCCCGAACCGGTATCTTAGGACGACAGCCGCACGGGTCCTGCATTTCTTTCTCAGTTCGCGAAAGGACTTTGGGAGGCAGAATGTTCACGTTGCGAACACCGGCATTTCATGGCAGCGCCACTTCTTTGGCGAGGCCGATTACGGGCCGTTGGTGAAGATGGGCGGCGAGATCGTGGACATGAAAGAAGAAGTCGACCAGGAGAGGGTTCATAGCATGATTACCGAGGCGGTGACACGGTCTTTCCCAGCTAGTGACTTAGCGTTGTAGAGCTGTAGCTATACACACTCAGTTACCACCTTGCTCGCGCGCTGCGATATAAACCAACAATGATACGCTTCAGAGTATATTATTTATGCCAATCGATGGTGACCGCCCCGGAAAGCAGCTTCAAAGCATCCGCTGTGGCAATGATAGGGGCTTCGGTCCAGACGCGTTCTCGATGCGTCACCGCGCCGTGCTGCTTCCCATCGACGACGCCCATCTCCGGCGTCCGGTTCACACGTCGAGATGCTCGCAGGCTGCCACCCACGCGTCTTGCTATCGACGACCACCAACGGGAACCATGAGTGGCCCGCAGACATTGACCCTCGGGGATGTGACGAGTCTCTTCACGTTGCGAGGCGCGTATACGCTCGCGTACTCCTTCACGTTTGGCATGGGTGCGTTTAATCGCCATTCAAAGCCTTACTGGAATTGACGAGACGTAGCCGTCTGGGTTAGCTTCTTTGGCGGTTCGTCTATCATATATACCCGCTTGAGCCTCCATTGATATGCTGTACTCGTCGGCAGGTGTCATCGCGTACAAGACGCTACGTGCGTTCATCCAACCTTCATGACTTCCCTCGCTCATCCCGATGTCCACCTCCAGCCCGACAGATGTTCGGCAACCTGCAGCACCGCACATTTCCCATTTATTTCAACGTGATGCTGGGGTTGTCGACCGGCCTTCTTGGAGCCTGGACGTACAAGCACCCTGATGTTATCTCATACGCCACGAAGCCTCTCGTTCCAGATGTTTTCCAGGCTTATGCGCTGGGATCCGTGATTCTCACTTGCGTCGCAAACTCATTCGTGCTCGGCCCGATGACTAGCAAGTGCGTTGCATTCGGTCACTCCTCGAATCGAGCTCATGTCACCTTTCAGGACCATGTTCAAGCGCCATAAATTGGAGAAGGAGGAGGGTAAAGCCTACAACGATCCCGGGGTACGTTTTCTGACCTCTCAGCAGTCGCGAGCGGTCCACTAATATCATTATAGGTATCGGATGAGATGAAAGCGCTCAATCGATACTTCATGCAGCTTCACGGATATAGCTCTTTGGCTAATCTCGGCGCTCTGATAGCTCTCGCTATCCACGGCCTTTGGTATGGTAGCCATGGTCTCTGAGAACTTGATCACAGATCGCAGAAGCGTGTGACTTGATCTATGTATGCCTGTATCGGGGTACGGTCGTGTAGTGTGCAGTGTAGTACTAGCTCAAGAAACAGACATCTGAAGCGCAAATGAATATCGAGGCAATTTGAAGCAGTTGATTAGCAAGGCGTGGCAAAGCGTAGTGTGCAAGTAGCGTGGACACGATAACGGATTGAGAGGATGTGATAGGCAACGCGACGCGATGTAAGTACTTGAGTAGCGATAACAAGAAAGGCGCAGATAACGTGATGACAAAGCACGAAAAACAAGAGACAGCAGGGGATAGGTTAAGATTTGATGCTAGATGTTGCTATAAGGAGGCTGGTGTAGTATGCATGAGCTAACGGGGGATCAACAAGACAAGCAGGGCATCGGCAACTTAGGCCGTACAATCTTCGATTGCGGTGATAAGCAGAGTATTGACTTGAGGACGAGTGATGAGGGACTGTTTCGCAGGCTCCGCGATTGTGCCGTCCAATATATCGGCGCGCTGCAATGTTGCGAGAAGTTTGCCCACGTCGACGAAGTGCTCATTCAAGGCGGGAATAGCGCAGTCCAAGACGGCCCGTTGTAGGCCGTTGCCTATGGCAGAAAGCAGGCGTTCTTCACGAGTTCCAAAGACCTCGGCCCGTTCACCAAGTTTATGCTTGGCGTGCTCCTCCCCAAGCGTGAGCAACATCTCAGCGCTAGCAAGACGGTTCCTCCGGGATGTGGTGAGTTCGCGAGGAAGCGTTGCGGCCTATTTGAGATGTGAGAAAATACATGGTTGAAGATAGGGATATGAAGCACCCCTACCTGAGACAATCGAGCCTTCAATTCT